GCACAAGGTTTTCTCGAAAGGCATTTTTGTCGCGGTTAGTGTAAGGCTTCAAATCGTAGGGTACCAGCACTCCTAAATCTTTTTCAGCTTGGGATACTTCTAGAGGGGAGTTGCCTAAGTTGTAGCTGTAGCCTGCAACATGTCTCAGATGAGCTACTTTGAAGTGTTAAAGGTAAGTTCGTCGTCATCTGTCCAATTTTGAAGTCGAGTCAGGTCCTCCTGAAGTGCCAGTATGTCCCCTTGGTTACGTAACTCTCTCTAAAGTTTCACATCAGCAGGAAAAAGTAATGTCTGACGATGCTTGAGGTGGAAGATCGTTTATATAAACCAAAAAAGAAGAGGTCCTATTACTGAACCCTAGGGGACCCCACTAGGACATTCCATAACCTGAGAGAAAAAGAAGTTAACATTGACCTTAAAATGTCACATTCTTAGGTATCAAGTGAGCCCATCAGTTAGAGGTGAGTTGATAGCCAATCGATTGAGCGTATTGATAAGACATATATGGTCAACCCTATCAAAAGGTTTTGAAAAATCAAGGTAGATGATAACAACCTTCCCCTTACGAACACGGATGGTCGTCCATCTGTCCACCTCAGTCAGCACGTTGGTTATATAAGAACGACCCTTCCTGAAACCGTGCTGCAGGGGTGAGAAGAAATTTAAGGACAGTAAATAGTCATGTAAACCATCGCATATCAGGTACTCCATGATTTTTGAAGGTATAGAGAGAAGAGCCACGGTCGGTAACTTGAAGGTTCGCTGAGTCGACCTCCTTTGAAAATTGGTGTGATGTGAGCCAGCTCCCAATTTTCCGGTAGTTTTTTTCGGCTTAGCGAGTGTGAGAATATCACGCTAAGCGGTGCTGACAGGATTGAGGCTGCTTCCCTCATTATAGCAGAATGAACCATATCTGGGCCAGGAGGAGTGTCTTTTCTTTAGTGCTGCAATTTCAGCGCTCAGGCTCACTACGGAAAGTTCTTTGCAGCTGCAGATGAAGTTGTCATCAGTATAGTTGATGTGTGTGGTTTGAAAAGTCCGGGAGTATTGTTCAGTGAAAAGGTTAGCGGCGCCGCCGTCGTTATTGATCGGGCCGTTAGGACCTAGCAGTTGAGAAACTCCAGTTTTGGCTTGATGAAGAGAGGCTGCATAATGGAATAAGGTTTTCGGATCGGAGACAAATTTATCTATAAACTTTATTTGGCACTGAAGCCTGTCTTCGTTTATAGCCTTTGTGCATGTGTTACTCATATGTTTGTGTTGCCAGTACGCGCCGTTGTTATCAGTTCGTTTGTATTCTGCCCAACAGTGACTTTTGTGGAACGCGCCACAAGGGGGTCATAAGATTAAGGTGTAAACTCTGCGAAGCCTGTTACACCATCAAGGATTGTTTTCGCCAAGTTAAAGGAGAGAATAAGACAGCTTGCTAGTGACTCACTGCATACTAAAAACGCCTGATCATCTGAATAAAAACATCACACCCGAGCCTCACTACTGCACCTCACGAGGCAATCCACGACCAATAAAACATGAAATCCAGCACCCTGATAAAATCACATCTCTCTCCATTAAGGATCAACTCTGTCTGAAGTGCCCTCTCAATCAACGTGACCATAGCACCTTGGATAGATGACTTTATGAGGAAACTTAATATCCATGTACGCGTTCATGTCTTACCGTTTTTCGTTTGGAATTGCTGTAATCGACGCATGTCTTGTGCCTTTTCACTACCACAGCTACTAGTTCTATTATCATAGCCAGTATCACTGTTACAAAAGTTGCTATCATTACTGCTGCTATCATTAGCCCATCTCTTTTGTTCACATTCTTTGCATAAGAGTTTTAATTACTATTCATTAACATTATCTTCTCTCTCTTTATCTACACTCTGAATTATAACCCTTCATACTGAGAAAAAATAATTTCCTCCCTGATGATGTGACCACTCCTGGTCATTTCAGTCCCTTTACCAAAGATCAAGGGCAATCACTTATATCCAAAAAATATTAACCTCTGATTAACCATCACACCCAATAGGCTTAGCACAACCGAGTGGGAAGATTATCCAAATTGGACGATGTCAGTGACCTGAAAACGTACCGCAAAATCAGGAAGCGAGCGCAAAGAAATCAGTTGATTTATACAAGCATATCACACAGATATTGGATATTGGAATGTTGTCATAGACACTAGTTTCTAATGAGCGGCCCAGTCGACATAAAATATTGCATTAAAATTTTTATTAATCTCCTGAATTCTGTTGGATTCTCAGAACTGGAAGCAGAAAGTGTCCGGTTGGCTAAGTTTGATGACATACGTGCATTACATCCGATCAAGCGGCTTGTATTTGAACTTATATATTTTATCAAATATGGGTGTGTGGATGAATTGTGTTCTGAGGGTTTCGAAAAATTTTCGGACAATGAAATCCATCAGTTTATATTTCAAAGTTTGTTGACATATGGATTTCCTTTAATACGCAAGAATGTTGATGAGAACTTCACATCAAGGCAATTGCTTCTGGGATCTATATGGATCCTAGTTTCTTTTGATGTCCTACCAAAAGTTGAACAAATTTTGATTTCTACTGCGATCGGAATGACAAAGAAAATTTTCGTTCATCAAAATGAACAGATCTTCACTTGTCCAGGAAGTAATGTGTCTATACCTCGACTCATTTGGCTGCTTGGTCGTTTGCGCATTCATTTGAAAAAATTGTACCACTTGAAAAATGAAACTATGAGAGACTTTCTTAAATTATCTATAGAAAGACCGAAATTGCTCCCACCCTCTCACTATTGGATCCTTCTAGATTCGAATGCTCTCCGTCAGCATATTCACAACGTACAGAAGAGTGTTTCAAAATTAAATTTATTATTGTCCTGGAGAGATGTAAACCACAGATTTTGGCAATGGATTCGTAGTATTTTAACTGTTCATGAAAATAATTTGGCTGAAACTCTCCCAAATAAGTGGGTATCTGACTCTGTTTGTGATTTTATTGAACTTGTTACACGACTGTGTAGCTCTATGAGTCATTTTAATGTCGAATACTCTCATCTTTTGGATGATACTAAGTCAAGTCTGTGTAAAAATCTTATATTGAATGAGAGTTTTAATTCTACTGAGGATATTTTGTCATGTATACACAAAGAATTGCTCATTCTCACAGATCTTGTAATGTGTGCAAATTTTCCCACTGATACTGGATTAATGCCGTATAATTTCCGGTATAATATTGTAAATGATGAAAAAGAACCTTTGGAAAAGGAAGATAAGTTTGGTCTAAACTTCACTTTGGAAGATGAATGTGCTAAATTAAAGTTAATGGTAGATAAACTGAAAACAGAATATGAAGACGTCAAATACAATTTAGCTCAAGAATTGCAAAAAGCAGGCGCGGATATTTTACCTGGGGCTGTTTTTCTATATAATAACTGATTAATGAGACTTTTAGGATGATTTTGCAGCTCTTATAATCTGTATCCAAAGTTGTTAACCAATACAATCTGTAAATATACTAGTTCTGTTACTTGTATTAATTTTTGAAGCACGCTTATTGTCTGCTATCAATGATAAATCTGATGATCTTAGTCGTGTTTTGGTTTTCGATTGCTATCTGTATTGTTTAACTTCTATTTTTATGAACTTATTTTAAATTTAGGTTTTATTATGGATTTCACTCTGGCTACTAGTATTTACATTTTATAGTTCGGGATATTTTATCGACGTGATTAGACCACGTAATATGAACAGACATTCTAGTATAAAGTGTTTCCTCTTAAATAATAACCATATTATGTAGAACTTGAGTGATCATTTGCAACAATCCGTCATTTCAAGGGATTCACCCTCGTTGGATGTTTCTTATGTACTGTATAATGAGTTACTATCATAATTATTATGGTTTTATGTTTCACCTATGTAACATTGTATGTCTGCACCTCTTCATGGATTGTAAGGAACTCTGCTAGCAGATTTGCATGTATCTTAGTTATAAATTATTATACTAAGCTATAATTTAGTGTTTGTGAGCAGGATAATAAAAAAGGTATTGATTTTGCACGGTAAAATTATGAGTATAAGGTAGTATTGGTATTTCACATGTTGAGTCTATTTGATTAGACTCTATTAGCATATATTCTGGCAGTTCTGAGTTTCCAAATGATCATAAAACTGAAGAATTATTGATGTTGACGAAGATTTTCATCAAAATCGTCCCAGTGTTTTTTGAGATAAAGTATTGTAGTGTAGGTATTAAGTCAGTGAGTATACAGCTTTGGTTTATCTGCTTTAGATCAATATCAATTTATCTAGAAGTTGATATGATAAACTTTGTACTTCCTGTTTTTATGTAAAGAACAACGTCAGAATAAACCACCAAACTGACTTTGAAAGCACGAAATGTCTCAAATTTTGGTCAATGAAATTACCAATCCCTAAAGAACGATTTTGTACCATCCAGTGACTTTAAAACAGCTGCTCATGCAACTTGGTAGTAGCAGTAGGAGTAGTAACAACAGTAATAATGAACCCGTTTAACTCCTAATGTATATATTTATAATTGAATGATCAATATTGTTTCATTAAGTATAATAGATACAAGTTATACGAAACATTTTAACATGGAATAGGTTGGTAATTTTTGCTTGATGGCTGATTTTTCTTAGTGTTTTCACAACAGTTATTTATATTTTTCGCACTAATCAAGCTTATGGAAATTTTAACTGAGAATAATCTGAGAAAAAGCATTTATATACCGCACTAATTATTCTTAACACTGTCCAACAACAAAAAATAAAGGATTTTTCATGTTCCGGTATTTCTTTTAAGATTGTCTAATTTGTTTTAGAAACCGATTTCTACTTCAAGTGATTTTTCTATCGAAATTTCTGACTGCATTCTAAGTGTTAATAACTGGCTTGTTGCTTAATATTCAGCTCATCTTTACTATTTATATTTTTACTTCACAAAAATCCCAGAATAATGTGTCGTTAGAAATGAAGGAATCTGGTGGGTTTCAGTATATTGATCGTGATCGGTTACTTTTGGCTGTTCAAATAGCAAAACGGGATGCTAGATGCTTATCATCTAGTAAAATTGAAGACGATGAATACATTCTTGAAACAGCTCAAAATTTCAACAACAGTTCCCTTTTGTCTTCAGTTGACAATCGTCCTGTCCAAAAACCAACTCAAGTAACTCTCAATTAAAGAAACCATTTTCTGATTCATAATCTTCATATATGAATAAATTTTCTTGATTGCAGCCCAAAGTATTATGGAGTGTAGCATATATATTGACTCAATCACATACTGTATTCATCAATCACTAAATAATAATATATGTTGTGTTGTTTTGTTTTAGTTGTGATAGAGTTGCATCGACTTAGTTTCAAGTGTGTTACTTAAACTAGGTGGCCCGATATCCCACTAATTTTCATTTACTATCAGAGGCAATTAATAAGAAATCTCTTATCCAGGATTCATCTTTACGTTCATTAGAGGTAAATATTTATAACTTAGAGGCTGTACTAGAAAGTGACCGAAAGAATTTGATTAGCACTAAAGAATAAACAAACTATTGCATCTTGTTAAGTGTTGAAAAGTATGAAACTTGGACTAAGGGTTCTTGTCGTATTCCTCGCAATTATTTAACATATCACCTTCCAAGTTTGTTTTTCTACAAGTCAACCTTTTGAAATCAGTTTAAATGCCATGTTCTTGCATGTTCGATTCTTAGTTGACGTCTTTTAGTAGTCCTCTCTAGGTTAAATTCAAACGTTCCCCCATAATATAGTCAGAGATAGTGTAAACTATTTTTATTACAAATATTCTAAAATATTGAATAATGTTTCTCAAATCTTAACTAGAGTGGTTGCATAAATAAGCATTCATTTTTAGGTAGGTTCAGTTGAAGTATCTTGCTAGTACTGTGCATTTAAGGTTGCACGATTGTTGAAAAAGACAACCGAAAAGTTAGACTATCTGTTGGCCTGTCGATAAAAAGCAGTACAAGAATTGATAAGTACAGATGTGTATTGTCAAAGTCCATGTGTATATCATCTGTTATAATAATATGACATTTTTACTAGAGTGAATAACACTCAGTTTATTACTGGTACCTAACCGTCAACTATAGTATATATTTTTGAGGATTAAATTTTCTTAAAATTTTAATACTGTTGTTTTAACTAGGTTATTAAAAGTACTGATCAGAAGTATAAATCAATTTTGAGTAAACCTAGAATACTTCCCTCAAGAAATGACTTCTATCAGACTACACGCAAACTTGCAACTAATGCGCATTATCAAACATTTGACGACAAGGCACCAGCTTGTAGTGATTCTCCTCCAATACGGGATACAGATACCTGGACTCCGAATCGTAAACGTGCTCTTCATGAACCAACTGAAAAGCAGCTCAGAAATTCACAGGTATATTCCCTAACTTTATACTGCAATTATCGGCGGAAAAGCTTTTTAGTAGTTACTACATTGCAACAATTGTTTTTAGAACAGCGCTAACTTAGTGGTCAATATTAATTAGCCAAAATACAAAAAAATGTTTTTTAAGTTGTAGTTTTGAAGGGAAAATGAAAAAAGTATGAGCACAGTTAAATAAATGTTACTTTTTATGTCCAAGTTACTGAGCGTTCTCTTCTTAAATAATATACTGTTGAAATATAACTAAATAGTGAATATTACTCCGTTGCTTTACTTTAACACTGCAGAAATCTAATAACGCTACATAACCAATATTTTTATTTAGGTAAATTAGAGTTTATCTGCTAATCAGATGGTAGTTTTATTGCTTACGTATTGGCCTCCTCAGCGTCGTACTTGGATAGATGAATTTTATGGTTGGATTGTTTAAACCACAATGGCTACTCGTTTTTTAATGCTAATTAAGTCAGTAAAACCTTGTTTATTTTTTACTAATTGTTTATTTTGACATAAGAGTGAGCCACAAAAGGACCTAAGATATACTCCATATAAATAGTTTTGGTAAAAAAAATAAAAGGAGAAAATTGCGACAACAATATTAAAAGAAGGTAGCTCAAATAAGAGCAAAACTAAAAGGAATTCTATTTTTCTCAAAGTAATAATCTACTGTATGATTATCTCTTTATTTAATTTTGAACCATGTTTGATAAGTTGCTCAGGTCACTATGTTATATATTATCTAGAATTCCCATAAAGAAGTGATAATAAGCTAGCACAAATATTCTTGGTAGTACAATGTCGCATCTTAATACTTTCTTCGTTTGTCCTTAGTGTCAGAAGATACTGCTAGTATGGTGGCTGTTGGAATGACACTCATAATATTTATAAATGTCACCAAAGGTACAAACGAAGGATAATATCGTGCAACCCTATATAACCTTGTTACTGGTTTGGATCAATCGACAGATGCCGTTGTTTGCTATCATTCTACCTGAATGTCTTTGTATAGAGTTTTCCTTCAGAGGAGTTCTGCTTATCACATTTGCCTAGCTGAGACATTTTCACAAAATAAAAAGACCGATTTCGGGTTGGTAGTGCAGAAAGTCTATCTCGATCAGTTTTAAGATCTTGATTTTCAAAGTGCTGCTTTTAAACCCCAGTATTCTGAAAGAAAGATTAGTGCATAGTCACTAGCTACTCTGGGAATACGTCTTTTGTCACTCCTCAACTACATTCTACACTAAACAGGTTGTAGATGTTGGCCTCCTGAAAAAACACCTGTGTTGGCTTGAGTACTCTAGCGGTATCATAGTGCTTAAATAAACCATGATGAATGAAATCAACGAATATGTACAACCTGTCATTCAACTCTTAAAAATTTCTATTTCGTTGACCAAGTCTATTGATGACCTATAAAAAATCTTTTTCAGAATTTTTTTGTGGTTAAATGATCTGGATAGTATTCCCTTTTTTGTTATCTTTTTTATGTAATAATATTTACTATTGTTGCTGTAATTCAATTATGTATTCTTGGATTTTATTATTTAAAATACTTAGGAATCTAGAATACGTCAACTACAAGCCAAGTTATCTCAATATTCAGATGCATTGGAAGAACTTCGGGCAAAGTGTTTGTCAAATAAAGCTCAATCTCAAGAATTAGGATCAACTTGTAAAGTACAGAAGAAGTCACTTTTAAAAATCCCTGCAAATCATTCAAAATCAGTAATCTCATCTATTATACGTCCAAAATCATCAGCTTTACGTTCTCATTTAGTTTGTAGACCGAATACACGAAATTCTAGTAAAATAATAAAATCTCATTCATTTAATGGTGTCAACTTAACTCATGATAATTGTCCAATGTCTCCAACGTCCATTTCAACCAATGCTAGAGATCATTATGATTCAAAAGTATCTTCACTTTGGGAGCAAGCTATTAATTCACTGAACTTAGATGGATCTAGTGCTGTTACTTGTAAACCTGGAGAATATCTAAAGGTAATAAAAACCCGCTTTTATACATTTATCCTTCGAACTATATTCATTCATTTAAAGTTTGGGCTGCATACTATGTTTGGTAAGAATGCTCGTTATTAAATTTAAGTTTATTTGTTTTTGTTTGGAAATGTTTATTTTAACTGAAAAAATATATAGAACAAGATTCATACGTTGACCAATGGGGGTTTATTAATAAATAGGAATACGCGATATAGAATATGAGTTTGTTGTAAGCGGATTATTTAAAATATCTCTGATTCCAATCTGAAATAAGGGGCTAAGCAGTGTCTTAATCAGATATGCTATTCCGGCACAATAATTTTTTGTCATGGCACATAGTTACCCAATTTTTAACCCTGTTTTCTGTTTCTATTTACTGAACCATTTTTTGCCAATTAGAACCAGAGTCCAGTGAAATCCTTGTGTACAATTACTGATGACCAACACATTCAGAACTCATCTAACCAGCTTACCATCAACGCGATAAAATCAAGTAATTCATTTCCTATGTAAATATATATATTCTCATTAGCATACTCAAACCTATTAATTTTAATCACAGTATTGTTTTTTCAGTAATTGTTCCTTAAAAAAGTGCTTTAACTTTTGTTTGTGACTTATTAACACGGAATGATTTCAGTGTTTGTTTTGGGTTCTACTGCTTGAGAGGTCAAATGTATTTATTATCGTTGAGTCTTAGAATTATGATAAAGTAGCCGTCTAGTCCTTAACCATCTTTAGTAGCTCTTCAATCAATTTTCAATTCAATTGAATTTCCAAAACTATAAACTTTTATTTAAAACTTTCAGCTAATAGGTTGAAGGTTAGCAGACAATCGGCTCCACCTACTTTGTTTTACTCAGCCAAATAATATTACAAACCTCGTCATCCCCTCAAACAGTATAGTTCAAGGCTGAGTATACAAACCTGTAGTTAGTAAGAGATTTTCGATGAACTAAATTAAAACTAAACTTGAACTTGATACACAGTCATATTTTATAATTGATTGATCAATGAGCAGTGACCAATGAAATGTTTGTCTAATCCTTTGATACTGGATGAATCCTATCAATCAAATTCTAATACAGCCACAAGTTAAAGTGTCTAGACATCACATTCACTATGTTGGGATGTTTAAGGGTTGGAATTTGTCGGCAAGAAACCGTGGATCCAGCTTGTCTTCTAGTTGACACCGTCATAAAGCTAGGTTATGTGGGTCCGAATCCTATAAGTCGCGAGTAAGCTTTGCTGCTGTATGCCAACTAGGACAATACCTAGGTCCACAGTTTCCTTCTGAATACCTTCAAACACTAAACATAAGCTTTGGCTTTCCAGAATAACAATGAAAGCTCAGTAAATAAACCATCCACTTCAGAGACCTGTAGCGTTTAGTATTGTTACACCACTATACGATTTATCCTAATTTTTGGATAGATGAACTACTTTAGTCGTTCCACTCGTTTTGTCATTTACACATGTGACCTTAAGATGTGCGCATGATAGTATGTATCTACACACTTTCTTGTATCTATCATACCTACAAATGTTGAATCATATTTTAACCACATCGAGCAGCCACGTTTGTCATCTGGGCTTCACATTTCCCATCGTTTCTCTGGATAAAAGAGTGCTTGAAATCGATTCTTCCAGCCTAATTCGTATTCAGCTTTTTATTACTGCCATCACCTAAACGGGGTTGGCTTAAGTAAAATATACGGGACCAAACAGAGAATTTGTGTTCACGGTTCGTTCCTTCGACAATGTCATGGAGTCAGATCGTTACCATAGAGCTCAACATCACCTAATATTAGTCTTCAGACGGATCTCTTTAGATCTTTCTTCATTTATTGTGTCAAAAATTACTGCCATTGTGGTGACATTCATGACATTTATACATGTCATTAAGCTACTTCTACTTGAGGTATGTACTGATAATGTTGTCCAGAAGAACAATGAAGGCTCCACATCCTAATCATTTAGGTCAGTGGATAAAACTCCAACAAAACTATCCACCTGGGCTACAAATCTTCTCTATAAATTTTGGTCATAGGTTAGATACTAATAATAGTATAGTTGAAAATAGTTACCTTGTTGCTTTTCAAAAATAGCACATATCTTATGATTGACTTGTATTTTTATAAAATACCTACTATTATGTATACTCATATTACATAGATCTAGATGATTGTCGCGTACTTTGTTCTGCTGCTCAAGAACTTTTAAAACAAATTGATGAAGCTGAATTAGAAGAGAATGCTATTCGTCAGCGATGGGCTAATAAATTAACTTATATTCATGATGACAGAAAATTGCTGAATAATTTTCCTCTTACCAAGAAAGATGATTCAGTATGCAAAAATTACAAATCAGATGTGCTTTCATTGTAAGTTATATATATATATATATCCTTAAATGAAGAATAATGTAAAAATCCAGTTCATTAATTTAAACACTCTACTTTCATTGAATAATACATCTCAAATTCAAACTTCACTTGATCTACTTCGTTTACCTAGCTTTGTAATACTTCAAGCTCTTATTAAATTAGAACTAAAAACTTAGTAAGTATATCAAACTATAATTAATTACTGATCTACATGAAACTATTTCTCATTAAGTTTAATTTGCCTAGGAAATGATAAATTGAGCGTTATAATTGAAAGGAGGTTAATGATTACCCATTATTTATGTCCATTAACTGCAAAATAATCGACGACATGTAAGTATATTCGTACTACTTTACTGTTGAAAACATTTATCAAGTGAGTTATTTGCAAGGTTTAAAATATTTTCAATATTTTCTTTATTTAGTAAAGCATGTAGAGGAAATTAAGAGTAAATATTACTAAGGTTAAACAAATACTTCTCGAATTATTTATAAATACTACTGTTCGAATCAATATTTTTCACAACTGAATATTTCATCAATCAATCAGCTGCCATGTCAACATAGTTTTTATTGAAAACCACACAGGTAATAGCATGATTTATAATCTGTTGCATATTTGATAGAGTTGAACATTTATATCACTCGTTTGGCTAACCAGATCTACGAATTGGTAAGGGTAGTATATGACTACTATTCACTCTTTCCAGTATAATATACACGAGAGGTTTATTTGAGGCCAAACTTTGTAAAAGTCAATGAAGCCGTTCTTTGTTGATTTCAGTGATTAGTTTTACTAAAATTTCTTGGCTTTTGTTTCTTGAACTATGCTGTTAATTAGTGTTTTTGGTGAGGTGGTTTTACTGGATGTCCATATTGATGTTCATATATTAGACTGTTATCATACATGTAATGTGCAAGTGAACAATACTGAACTTTTTCTAACCCCGGATGTAGAAAATAATATTTAGATGGATGACACAGTGACCAATAATCATATATTTAAACTGTTCATCCACAGATGTACTCAACATAAAAACCAGTACTTGAGAGTTGAAACTACTGATTGCCAATAAATTCGCAATGTCCTTGGAAGTAAGGTGAAGAATTGGCAACGAACGAATAGGTAAGACGGGTTATTTGTTCACATTAATGTGAAGAATGGCTCTAGTGGACTTGAATTTTCGTGAAACAAAATAATAAAATGGTGAGTAAATAAGTGGTTTTTGGAGAATTTAAACATTTCCCATAGTTTATTAAATTCAACGATTCGAATGGATTATTGCAGGTGAAGTTATCTGCAACTTTTTTGTGTGTCCAGTGTTGTAGCACAGCCTGATATAGCTAAGGAATTGCCTAAATATAGTGAATGTTAGGGCATAAAAAGAAATCTTTAATGAAGTATACACTGCAGTATGCAGTACCCACCTACTAAATGAATGAGAATATGACTAAGAATGCTGGCTACGACGTAATTCGCGAACATCAGAACGTTGCAAATAACCTCAGATATTATTTTTCACTGTTAATTTTAATAAGTACTAAATTGTGCTTTTTGATGTTTTTTCTTTTATTCCATTCCTCGGAAGATCACAATTTCAACAAAATGACAAGTCAATTATCCGTCCTGATACTTCAACGTTTCAATTTCCAAAAGTAATTGTTTGATTATTTTGAATTGAAATTCAATTTTATCATAGATCTGATCCAGAATGTGATTATTTACACTGATTGATTACTGAATATTAACGAATAACACGTATTTAGTCCTTGATACTAATCGAATTCTATCGATTATGTTTGAATGTGGTCACTAGCGATTTGGTACCCTGTGTTCTATGTTTTGATGTTCTTTGGTTGAAAGCAATCAGAGGGAAGCTTTTAGGTGCAGACCCCGGGCTATTTGGTAGTTGTCAGTGAGGCGTACTTGTAACATTAATGCAACTGATGCTGCCTGCGGAATTCAAAACCGTGGCATTCACTGTTACAATCACTCAGAAACTAGTCTCCAAAGTCCAACTTGATAGCCTGATCAGCACTATGAACTGGAGATCTATGAAATTTGATACTACTTAGTTACCAATCAGTTTAAAAAATCTCAATCCTGTTGGAGATTAGTCGCAACCCGAATAGTTCAACGGTATCATCCTTGACTACAGTGGGATGTGATATAAAATTTCATGAGAAGCATCATTTCCACGAAGATTGTATACTCAATCTGTTGATTAGTACTAATTAGTATGAAACCTAGATCTACCAGGGCTTCCATCCGATTCTCTTCAACTACCTTACACCTAAATCGAGATGTTAAAAATAAAGTCAAATTTTTATTTGATTTCTATTCGACGTCAAATTAACCTGTCAAAAGATAGATCATTGCATAACTTACGCACGTTGCGTAACACGAAGATAATACATGAAGCAGTACATGTGTTCTATTTATAAATTACTCAGTTTGAAATGCTTAAATAAATAAGCTTTCTATTTTTATTTACACTTAGAAAATGAATATTTATATTTAATTCATGCATGCTGAGGGTCCAGGGTCAAAGTGACATCCACTCCAATGTCAAGTCTTATAACTCATTAGTCGATAGAACACTCAATTCCCTATCCACAGTCTGTCAGTTCAAATCCAACTATAGTTAAGATTTCTTTTCACTTTCAAACATGATATAAACTAATGATTAATAGCTTCTAATTATTTCTTCGAAATGTTGTATTAATAGACTATACAATTATTCCATATCTATACATGTTAAGTAGTTTCGTACTCACTCTTGACTAAGTCTTCTTTGTCACAATTGTGTTGATTTACAAATTACATTGTGTGATCAACTCTCAATGTTATTTAAATATCATTTACTTAGTATATTTTCAATGTAAAATATTTCTTAGTAGAGTAATGTACCTCCATACTAGGTCTAATATTATGTTTTGTCAACAAGACAAATACTAAATTATTCTGCAAGTCTATAATTTATGGACTAACTAATCAGATTTAGGATAACAGGTATTGGATATTTGCACGAAATTCATTCACCCATTTGTCTAAATAGAGTTTTGACATTTTAGCTTATGTCAGTTCGTGATGAAAACAATGAACCTAATTCCTAACCGTAACCATCTGTTTTAAATCATAATCCTTATTCATCAAACTGTTTTGTAACTTTTGTTTAGCCCTAATAAGTAGATAGGCGTTCTCACGATCACTAGGGCGTGGCTCAAAAGTCGTCCATAGATTATAGTCTCACGAGTTATTCCATATCATTTCATGTATTATGAGATAATTCATTAGGCTAGAATATTATTCTAATTACAATTGTATAAAAAAGTTTGAAACAAGGATAATCGGGATTTCAAAGTATTTGTTAGTTTTTCTTATGATTATTTTTTACATGTACTAAATTGTAGTGTCTAGTCTTATGTCAAGCCAGCACAGGTTATCGTAACCTCCGGACAGACTGATTTATTGACTCTTTTCATGTCACATTTTGACTTTACTAATTATTCGCTTATTAACCATGACTGTTTTTAAATGAGTGTATGTTTGTTAATTGCTTATCCTATTCATTACGTGTCTTTAGCTTATATTTGCTTGACTATGAATATTGAGTCGCGCTTGATCAGGTTGAGTTGCCTCCCTCACCTTCTCTTCTCCCCGTCGCTTCGTTTCCCATATTTCCGACGACATTCTCTACTTCGTTCTCCCTTCGCCTTCTCCACTTTGTTTCTTTGGTTGTATGTCCGGCTCAGCTAGTGTACGAAACATACGTATTCAAAATACGTTATCGTATTTGACTTATTCCGTTATTCTCTAAGGTCGATTAAATTGATAATTATGTATGAAGGTAGTCGGGATGTGTATTTCGATAACATCATTCGTACGTTCACACCTCAGTCAGATACTGGGCCTCAAAAAGTAACCAATATTCTTCAGCAAGATGTGAAAAGTTTTTTTTACTGTATACCTTTTTTGTAAAAATCGGTACAACCATATAGTAAAATTTTTAGGTTTCATTTCATAAGGATTATCAATAAATGAACGTTGCCTAACAACTGTTAAACATATAAACTTGTACTTGGAGAATGAGATATATTACTATTAATTACTTTAATCAATCAGTTAGTTGTAAGCAACATAGAATATATTTGCCTTAGTTCAAGTTACCACAACAAGATGGAGTTTTAGAAATATCATTGTGGTATATGCCACTTATGCTGGCAGATATAAGTATGCATCACCAGTCGAAAGTAGAATGCCTGCTAGCAGAAGACTGGGTTGAAGGGAACAGGAAGGGAGATATAGAGCAACTGTAATAACAACAGAATTGGAAGAATCATGAAGCATGTGTTAGACAACTGTAGGAAGATGTGCAAATAATGTATTTAGTGTAGGGTTTTCATATTTTATGAAGGCTTTATGTAGTTTTGCATTACGCATTAAATTGATTTTCGTCACCAAGTCTTCATTCACTACAACAGTAGTGTCAGAAATAGTAGGAATCATTAGACATAAACATTGTGATTCAGGAAGACCAAATGAAGTGTTAATAGTTTTAGAACACAAGATCTGAAGGTAAAGAAAGAGTGACTGCATCTAAGCTGTGTCATTCAGCGTCTCTAATTGTTGGTTACAATAATCCTGTGAACCTAAAACTGGTAGTCCACACCTTCCTATATGGACTGTCTAACAATCGTTGAATCCATGATATATTTTGTCTTGCTCATACCTAGTTTTCATCTAGCCGGCAAACATCACATGTCGAGATAGGTGCTGGTTATGCATACATAATACATTTCTTAATCACATGAATCGATGAAGATTCATCCACTCACCAACCAATTAATCACGGTTACATCAATCATTGTGTTGAACTAAAAAATTACTATAAACTAAAACTGCTTAACAGTAATTTAATATCAGAATCATTTATATAAAATCTTTAAGTTTCTACATGAAATATCTTTAAAACAGAAAAGAATATTATCATCAATCAATACGTTATTTTGTATTTAAACTTAAGAAGAACAATCTTGAAATATTTACCCTCAATATATTCTTTTAACTTCTTTCTTACCATCTCTTCTTTTCTTTTATTTTTCATTAAAGTTTTTCAAGTAGTTTTTTTAAAAGTGTGAAACCAACCAACATTTTTAAAAACAAATTATTTTCCTACTTTGCTTTATCTTTAGATGTTTAATTATCCTATCTACATTCGGAGTATGTACAAATATTATCCACATATAATATACAATGTTTAAATTTATGTAAAATGTAAAAGTGAATAATTTTCTTTCTATCTCCTTATTATTCATAATATATTTATGTATTTACAATCTATTATTATTATTATTTTCATATTGAATTATTACTATTTAATGTGTTACTATAGTAATTAACTAATTGTATAAGAATTAGTGTTTGATTATTGAAATATAATTTGCTTTATAATACTTTTACTCTTGCAATTTCCAAGTTTCAGTTTATTAGTTTCTCTTTTGTTCTTGTTACATCGTTTATATCATTATGGTTTTACTACTACTACTACTACCACTACTACTACTACTACTACTACTACTACTACTACTACTAATATAATAATAATAATAATAATAATAATAATAATAGTAATAATAACAATAAAAGACATTGTGTATTTTTCTTAAAATGATCATTGTAAAATACTGCTAATAAAAATTATATATAATTGAACGATTTAATTCAATTTATACAAATTAACATTGAATATCAATTTGGATAAGAATAAATATTTCATAATTGTTTATTGAATTGATAAAATCAATTAATCAGTTCATTTGTACGATTAGAATCTATATATTAACATGTTTTTTTTTAATTGCACTAATAATTAGTGAAATAGAATTTTTAGTCGATTAGGTGTTCAAGTATAGAACTCCTAACTGTTTTCCTTTCACTTTTATGAAACCAAACTGGGATATGTTCCCATAGCCAGCGTTCGCTTTCAACTCGGATACAGGGACATATCCCATATTGGAAATAGAATTTGTTTACTTATTATTTTCTTTTTTCTAAATATGTACTTTATATTTTAATTTTTACCTACTATTCATGATAGAAATATACTTTTTCAATTATCATTCTTTATTTCAATAAAATTATTAATCATGATAATTAATTTTGTTTATTTAAATGATTATTTTTATTGAGAATAAAAACAAAAAACATAACTGACTGGTTTCAATTCATATTTTCTTTATTACCATTAATCTATTTTCATGAGTTCTAAACACTATTTCAATGTTCTGGAACTTTCCCTCTCAAACTTTATTTATTCGAGACAAAATTTTATGATCTCATTAATTCTATCGGAATCTTTGCTACACCATGATACATTTATTCATCCTTAATCACTCTCTTATGTATAAATATGTCAATATCTGTAATAATGTTGAATTTTGAATATTTTAGGTTGTAAGCAGCTGATGAGAACCTAATGAAATAAAATGAATTCATATTATTCTGCACCAATCTTTGTTCATGCTCTCTTTAAGATAATAAAGGGAACTATGTGTATGAAAAAAAAGTTTTCTTTTACTGCACTTAGAAATTATTTTCAAATTTATCACATAGTGTTTCGTAACAATTTCGAATTTATCACGACGACAACAAAAATTTTTTTTTGTTCTACACATTGATTTGGAATTTTTTTGGTAAAACGTTGCTAGTGCATTTAAGTTTGCTTTTTTTTAAAAAATTTATTTTTCTTAATTTTAGAATTTATTTTAATGTAAACAAATCAATCTTCAGTATGATATGACTTATTTATTTATTTACTTTTGGTGTCATGACAACTAATAGAAGCTGTTTTTTCTTATTGATGATGTTTAACTTTGATTGAAAATATTATGTGGTTTAATTTTGTTTGATTGTCAGCTTATTTCTCAAATATCTAAGTTATTTGAAAATTACATTTTAATTAAGTATAACTTTATAATATTTTAAATAAAGCTTAAGTTTTGTTCAATAGTTTCAATGTTTTATGATTATAGGTGAAACAAAGGGAGAATATTGTAAATTTAGTCTTTTTATTTCTCAAGTACAACACATGAAGCTAAGTGATTTATGACGAGAATATTTCAGTTTATAAAATATTCACAATTTTATTGTTTTACTAATGTGAACATTTAATAAATGATAAGTTATGTACACAGTTTGTGATGCATTGTATTAAAAAAATATGCTCATTATGTGATTATCAATTCTGTTGTCAAGCCAAATCATATACTCATTGCACTCTCAGGATTGCACGATGTTATCAGGATGGGGTTGTAGAGATTATTATGTTTTTGATTGAGATCATGAATCGATCGATGTTAGACCACCATGGGAAACCTGGAAGCACTGGACGTCCGTTTCGTTCTATTGTGAGACCCTTCAGCAATGTGCATCCACGAAACCAGGACCTTCGGTCACGCGCGCGAACTCTTAACTTCTAGACCACTGAGTCGGTATCCTAACCTTAACCAATCCACGATATTAGTCGGGATCTCGTATTAAGTACCTGATATTTAATAAATTGATGAAAGCAGTTCACGATCTTGAAACACTGATCTAAGTATCATAAACATATTTTATAAATGTTACTTGACCGGATTTCACATGGCATATCATGTTTTACTGTAGGTCTCGTTGGAAAGTGGAGAGGCGATTAGTTTATAACATGGCCGAAAAGTTTGAGAGGTAGTTGTATAAAACTGCTAACTATTTGTACTCCACTTGAGGTCTCATAGACCATGCAACTCAGCAGTAATCCGAGATGTTATCATAAATAACTCAGAACATAGGTTATTGGAGGTCATATTGTAGTTTTTTATTATAGTTTTTATAAAATTGGGATAAACTGTCTGAAGAATTGTACGTTTTACTACCAAGATTTGGAATGACCATTTCAAATAAATTGTACATTAAGTAGATTAGTTAGACTAAATCTCTAACCTTTCTCTACTTAGTGGATATTGTATTTTCCTGAATAGGTGATTTATAAACCTATATTTTCAAATTTCTTCTTATAGAATGAAGCTTACTCGAAGGTGAAATCAGATTGTAATCACGTTGATAAGAAATCCAGTCCTCTTGCTCACTTTCATCCACTTATTCTTCCGGTTAAATTACATCGCCAGTTATTGCAATCGAAAATCAGACGAGATGTACACGCTAAAAACATTTGGTTTTATTTACTTCCTACAACAACTTTTAACAACTTGCCAGATATTCCCGTTATTCGTGTCTGCGAAGACCTTACCAATGATTTAATTCAAGAAGCAGTTGATGAACTATATCAGACTATTGATCGTGCAGCTTCTGAATTAGTCGATGAATTAATTAAAGCGGAACTTTTTCCAGAAGCACCTGATATAACCTTATCATTTGATAAGTGTGATGATGATGATCCACATGGTTTGTCTACACCTGCACTGTTTCATCAATCAGATTTAATAGCCCATGAGTTCGATGCTCCGGTGGTGTATAGAAACTGTAGTGAAAACCAAACGACCTCTAATGTTACATCGATACTTGAAATTGAACATGAATCTAGTATTTCTAATGTCGAATCAGTAAATAGACTGTCAAATTCTGAACATACTTGTAGTATTAGTGAAGATATCAGCGAAAAATATACTTCAGAATTCGAAGATGATACTGTTTCTTAATTATAAAATTTTAGGTACATTGACGTGGCTTTAAAATATGTTCCTCAAGGACTGTATTTCTCATTACTTGAAATTATATACAATTTCTTCTTTTATGCTAATAAAAAATACATTTCCTTTTTATATCCACATGTAGTATTTTTTTAAAACGCTATTAACTACTCGTAAGTAACCAAGTACACTTAGTAACATTTTCTCATTCTGACAGTCGGGATTTAGGATTTTATCAAATTAAGGGAGTATTTATGCTAACTTTCATAAGAATCGTTTTGGAAAAAGCTAGATAGTTCTATATCATTTTCGATGCATTTGCTACACGAAAAGATCTTGAATTTGCCTCGTGGTCATGTATATTTGCATATTTTTATGTGATTTGCGGGATTGCACTTTCTCTACCTGTTGAGCTGTGGTAGAGAATATGTTAGCCAAGTAGTATTCTCAGTGGATCAATAAAACTTCAATTATTCAATTTCAATCTATATCTTATATAATTTCTGAAATTAATTTTTCCCTATTCATTGGCTAGTCATTAAATATTCTATAGTAGTTATAAGGCTTTCGATATATATAATTACCAATGAAAATATAAATATCGAAAACCTGTTGGATTTATCTGAAATCAAGTCAGCCCTCGTATAACCTGAGTATATTGGTCAGCAAATATTGCATAGCAGTTTATGGTGAAATACGGGGTTTTTTTCACTGTTAGTGGAATAGTTTACCTATGGGTGATAGGGATTGTATAAATTCACACAAAGATCGTCAACAGTATCTTGTGTAGATAAACATTAAGTTTGAACCATGAGATTTCATGTTGATTATATTTCGAATAAAGGCTAAGAGTAGCGTATGACATACTTTCCATCTTTTTTGGATCTACCATGGATATGCTTGCATATGTGTTTATGTCCACATTAATAGTATCGAACTGTTTAGAATACTGAGACATTGACTTATTCACTTAGCGCAATGTTTATTATCAGTATAAATGGTTTGTACTTTGAAGCTGCAATTGATAACATTCTCTGTCTCTTATTGAGCAAAGGCTTTTAAATTGCTTGTAGTGGTGATCATTAGTTTATATTTTAGAAAAGATACGCTCTTGCAAAAAATAGTATTCTTTGTAAGCAGAATGACTTATTAAAAGCTTTATGTTTCTCTTGTTAACAAATCAGAAATCCAGATTCGCACATTTATTTTAACTCCTTGTAATCATCCTGAGTGATTTTCTTATATAAAGTCAATAGGAAAGTTTGTTAAGGTATGTTTATGCATGTACTAATTCTCTGGATGAATATAAGACAAATCTGTACTTCATATAAAGCAAATTTCTAGATATATTCTTACTTTGGAATAGATTGATTGCGGTTAACAGTGGAATCTAGGGATCTTTACTTATAAGAATTCATTGATCGATTCTTTCCTAAAGTTTAATTAGCTAGCAAATGAATAAGAGATAGTTATTTTTTCTTGATTGTGACAAAAAACAAAATTAGACTGAATTAAAGTACACGTTTTCTTTTGTTTAGTGGATGTCATGTCCTCTAATTTAAATGATTCAATTGAAGGAAATGTGATTATTATTTTGTGGAAGTTTGCTTCTTAAGGAATTTCTCATTTTCGAACAGCTAGAAGCCTATTACACTCATATTGATTTGCAACAAGATAGAGAATACTTGTAGTTCAAAATGAATTAAACCATTCAATTCAGAGAACATCTCCAAAACCTTCACTTTGAAGTACAAATATTCTACATCATCTCCGAAGTTTTCTCAAGAAATTTTACATTTTCTCTTTTTTCTTCTTTCTGTAAAAATAAATTATGGAAGTATTAAGATAATTGACCTTTTCACTCAATTCACAAATTAATAATATTCATCTTCTATGCTAAGAAGTTGTGTAAATATCACAACATTAATGGTTAATAATTAAATGGGAAACGTCATATGGTCTGGTGCTTATTTAATTAATATTTCGTTATATTGTTTTCTTTCTTACAGTGCTTTTTCTGATTTCTTTTCTTCATCTTGTACTTGACTAGCTGAATATATATATTTCCATATCTCTCTCTATCTGAGGTTATATTTCACTTACCATCTCTGTGAAACAGTTAACTACATAAGTAAGATACAATTCTATGATGTGCGCGTGTGTCTAAGTGAACATTGTTTATTATTGAAATCAAGAAAGAAAGAAAGGGAGATAGACGAAGACAGTATTTCTGTTTCTTTTCATTATGCGAATATTATTTTTTTGTTTTTCTCTCTAAACACAAGAAAAAGAATTAAACAGTAGATTTCATGAGTGTGAAAAGAGGAAAAGTGTAACAATTTCATTGTTATTTTATACGTAAAAGTAATGATAATAATAATAATACTTCATTCAATCTGTTATGGGTTTCGTTTATTTCATTATTATTATTATTATTATTATTATTATTATTATATTTTTAATGTGAATATTTATACAGATATTATTTTGATTCAGTATTATTACTTTTTCCAAGAAAAACATTTCACTAAATAATTTTTGGGTGAATTTTATCGTCTAATTTGAGAAGAGAAACAGAATGTTTTTTTCCTACTAAAACTGATTGTCTATAGTTTCAATGAAGGTACTATGGTGTGTGCTACTTATATTGACATAAGTAGTATATGATGTTAGTCGTGAACAGAAGGTCTGGCAGCAGAGAGACAAGAGGATCGAACAGCAAAGAATGGAAGCAGGATGTAATTTGTATGAAAATGCAAGAACAATGAAGTCTGAGTCATTTAGAGACAATTGGTGGACATTTTGCAAATTAAGCATTTACTTTACGATTGTTAGATTTTATTAACAAGTTTTGTAATTTTGTATTCAATACATTCGATTGTCCCCACGCATGTTCTGTTCACTACAGTACTTGTTTATTCGACTTAATTATTTAATTTCTATGATATATCATCATGAACCAACATTATCTGTGGAGCTAATGAAAAATATGGATGGATACATTTCTTGACCATATTTGGGATATGATAACAGTATGGACTGACAGCCTCATACAAAGTTTGAAGCAAAAATCATCTGGTTTCACGATGATCATGAACCATTCACACTACTGTATCACCATTTAATCATTATGATGTTTATCATTAATGGTGAAATTCGAGATAGATTTCTCGAAATTCTGATAGAAATTCTTCACTAATTCAGCCAACCAAATGATTCATTGATAACATCCAATTAAATATCACATTACCAGAGATCATTAGTTGTTTGAAGTTGAAAAACTAATGGCTTAGAAACACTATGCTTGTTGTGAGTCCTGACGGTTCTGTTTTGTCTTTTGTACATAATAATTAAAAGTCTCCCCCCCCAAAAAAAGTGACGGATAACATTTTAATGATCTCTTATTTCCTCTGCTTTTCCACTATTAATACTTCAAGCCTTACTGCGCTTTAATATAGCTAATTTTTTGTTGTACATCGAGAGCTAATTTTTTATTGACCAAATTATTATTGAGATGAGATTGTGTATCAGTTCGTCATGTTGTTATTCTCTGTATCGTTTTTAAACCTTTTAAATAAACTTTTATAATCTATCAGTTGTCAGTAATTGTAGATAAACATATTATTCTTTTTGTTAGATTTGTTTAATTCAGAATTCATACTAAAAGATATCCACTCTAAATCTTTATTATACTTTAATGACTATGAAATTGGAGTGTATTATATAATTTAATGTCTTAGATCTTAATTTTATTCATTAGATCGTAGTGCATCAGTTCCATTCGATCAATTTATTCAACCACACTCTGCACGACGTAGTTTCTCCCTTAATAAAATCATATTCAATGTTAAAGTTTAGAAACAATTGTTAGTTGGCTTTTCTATCATATTGTATGTGTCAATTAATAAAAAGAAGTTGTTATTACGTTCTCTTTTAACTAGTTAATCTTTCAGTATTCAAATAATATCACTTAGACAACAGGATTTAGGTTAAGTTATCTACAAAGAAAAGAAGATTCAATTTTAGTCAATTTGTCAAAAACAATACATTACGATAATAAAAGTATAACTGGAATAAGACGAGATGCTTGCTTTTCTATAGTCAACATCAAGAAATGACTTCACATAACTGGTTAAAATCCTGGAGCACTGAACAACTACTTCTTCCTTGTGTGACACTACTCAGCATTCTTCATTCATGACCCTACAAGGGGTCGAACCGGCGGTATTCTGATCTCGTTGCGAGTACTTAGACTCCGGACAACTGAGCTGGAATCCGATAGCTTACATATCTAATTTTAATTGATCCGCGATCTTGCGCAACTATCAGCTGATGTCCTCGGTAGGTATCTGCTCCATATTCGATATAGTTGAAATCCACTTGACACGTGTGAACGCCCACTTAGAGGGAGTTTGATCTCTGGTGAGGTCGCGGATGACCACTACCGGAGAGTCCCAACAGATATCCAGTGCTGTCTGGTTTTCAATAGTTGCTTAACAAAGATCGGTTCATAATGTTAACTATAAAATCCAACTTCATAGTAAAAAGTTGTGTATTACCAGCACTTTATTGAGTGATATGAGATTCGTAGTTTTGGATCACAAACTGACTTCAGGTAGACAAAATGTCAAATTTTATTAGGTAATCGCACAATTTATGGAGAATGGGGATTTGTGGAGATTGTAGTAATTTTAATAGTTGAGGTCATGAGTCGATCAATGTTAGACCACCATTGGAAACTTGGAAGCACTGGATGGCCGTTTCATCCTATTATAGGACTCCTCGGTAGTGTGCACCCACGATCCTGCACGTGGGACTCAAACTCAGGACCTTGGGTCTCGCTCACCAACACTTAACTTGTAGACCACTGAGCCGGCATCCAACAGTGTTAATGTCTAACTTCAATCAATCCATGGACTTGAGCAACCCTTCATCCATTGTCTGAGGTGGATAGGTCTCCACCGGACACAGATTGGACTCTACTGGTCACCGCTTTTTACTGGAATATTAGGAAATTTGTCTTGAAGCTAGTCACTAGTGAGCACATGATGATTACCAGAATTGGGATTTGTGGAGATTGTAGTAATTTTAATAGTTGAATTCATGAGTCGATCCAAACTCGGTCAGTTAATACCATCTAAAATCACTTCAGTGATTTTGAATTGATTCATTACAGAGACAGAATAATTAGATTTATTTAAATCGATAATACTTTTAAAAGTGATTAAGTTAATACTTAAGCTGTCCGTGATAAAGATATACAGGATAACTATAAAGTCAATTTCTATTCATTATTTAAGCTCTAAAACACAGTAAACCTAATGACATGGAGTAATAACCATGTCCACTTATGGTAAATGATTTCCCTAAGAAAATGTTAAACTCAAATAGGTTATTATTCATCACATAGTGGCTTTTTTATTAGAAAATCACTAAATAATGATTACTGTTCCTGTCAAATTGAAAATCAGTGATAGAACTACAGTGCTAACTCACTGACTAAATGCAATAAGCAAGATAATACTTGAAACGAAACATATTTATATTTATATTTTTATTCTATCGTTAAGTGTATTATCCTAATAAAATTAGAACAATTCTCTCATAGAGATGTTGTGAAAGCATTTTCATAAATGGTGTTACTATTAAAAATACATACAAGGGAACAACTGGTAAACCTTTTCACTACCCAAAATCTGTCTTTAAGCATCTGTTAACTTGAAAGTGAGATCGTTTCATTATTTCAATTCTGTCCTCTAACTTGAATTGTATTCATGATTTTTATCAATCATGATAGACCATACTACCCTGGGAATTTGCAATAACTCTCCAGTTACACACTCCGATAGGCATCATTCACTTAAAATACAAATAGAGAATCAACTGAATGTAAGTAATGAATACAACTGAACCAATGAACATTCAAAAAGCTATGAATAACTTCATTGTTAAAAACTGGTTTATCATATAAAAATGAAACAATTTCAACAGTTGAGATCGTGAGTCAATTGAAGCTAGACCACCATGGAAAACCTGGAAGCACTGGTCGGCCGTTTCGTCCTATTGTGGGACTCCTCAGCAATGAAATGGTAAACACTTGAATAGGCTACTGAATATTTCATATGATAAAGTAGGAAATCACTTAAGACTTGTTTCTTTTTTTTCTAGAAAAAATTATCGTTTTTAGTTATTCTTTTACATTAAAAATAATTCATTTGATGAAATATTGTTTTGCACAATATACCATAATTATTATCTTAAAGACATATTGATCGTTTACATTCACTCCCTGTCACCACTCCATAGAGAAAATCAAATAACTGGCATATTTTTTCTTCCAAAACTCCCCTTTCCTAAAATATTGGGCGGAGGTAGAAAATAATTTTCCAATAATGGTTGAAATGTTTGGTTACATCAGTTCGCCTAAAAAAGTCATTCTTACTAGACTTGTCCAATTTTAGTCAAACTTACAGCCCGGTAAGTTTTTTTCATGTCCACTAGCTTAGATTCACTCCTAGATCACATATATATATTTGTATGGGTGTACGATTGATTCTTACTCTATTTTTCTATGGTCTAGATTGGAATTGGTGGAAAATTTAGACTTACTACTACTGCAGGTAACTAACAATCAGAAAAATGTTAATTTGGAAGTTAGATACATCTATTATCTTTCTCTCCCTTTATCCTCTTGCTAGTTAAACAACCAACCAAATATATCTACCAATTTTCTACTCGTTGCCACTTTTTGTTTGCCCATTATGGTGTTTGTCGCTATTTACCTCTTCCATATTTGTCTTCGACGGACTTAATTTTTCTTTCAATACTCACTCTGTAATATGTTCACATTTTGCCTCATATATATTTTCTAGCCTTTGAAAACTCCAGGAAAACCCAATCGTTAAATAAGATAGAATATGTGACTTCACGAATGCATTCACATACATATATATCTGCCGAAAAGATGAATCTATTATAAGCTGACTTCATATTTTTAAACGTAGTTAAAATGAAGACTGGTTGTTGAGCCATCTTTATGTATTATGATGCATACATGTGGGATTTGAGTAAATCATTAATAAATCAGGTTACACAAGTTTCCCCCCATCACATTCAAGTCCAAAATAGATGTCCAGATTAGTGAGCAGATGTGTACCAACATAAATATGGTATTAAGGCTGAGATAAACTGGTGGTGTGGTGGAAAATAAATGAAAAGAAGTTTAAATTATCTGCCTGAGTTTTGGTGCTTTTGAACAATTTAATGTTTCCAGTGATGAAGGGTAGGAAAACTAATTGCAAAAGGGGTGTAAATAAATGTTTTATTTCTCTATAATATATTCTCAAATAAATGAACACCAGTTTTAAATAAATATATCATCACTTGTTCATTAATTAATCAGATAATTTGGAATAGATTCTATAGTTAAAAATTTGTGAGTTTTATATTATTCTGGTGTTTTTAATTTTGATTTGTAAATAGTGGAATTTAGGTTTTGATCGCATTTCTTAATAGTTAACATGTTGAAATGATCTTCGTTAGCTAATGGTTGAAAAACTTGGGGCACAAGATTGCTGCTTCGTCATAGTGTGAGAATTTTCAGCAATAACCATCCATAAACCCATCAGAGATTGAACATAGGATCGGCAGTCTTGCTGACGAGCACTTAACCTCCAAACCGCTGAGCTGGTATTCAGTGGTTTACATATTTGACTTCAGTCAAGTTGTAATAATAGACGACCATCCTTGATTACTCACGGTGAGTAATTGCCATACATCCAAGATGATTGAAATACATTGACCATGATTTCTTCTCGGAGATAAAGAGCTGTCACTATAGACTAAATTTCCCTGGTTAGATCTTTATTGGGGTCATGGATGCTCACTAGTAAGGAGTTTATGCTAAGGCGAAACATCTGTTCGGTACTTCCCAGTTTTAATGGTTATCTGAATTAGATATAATCAAGGAAGTTTCAACAATCTCCACAGACTTTCTATAGTATCACTATAATTTGTTTATGACGAATATGATAAATACATCGAAAGTACCTACTTGGTACACTTATCTAGATGTATCCATGTTTTTAATTTTGTCACTCAACTTCATGATATATATTACTTCATAGGCTTTATTTTTAAACCTTTTCAACCTAAATACTAGAAGTAATTAGTAAGAGAAACTTGATGACAAGTGGTTTCGAACAAATAGTTTTCATTTATCACTGTAGGTCAATCTGTTATTATTATATGAGTAGTTAACACATTTAAATGAAATATTTTATTATTAAATATGAAATTATCTTACATAACATTTAACATTAAATGTAGGTAATATAGATTACGTAATAGACGTGATAATGAATATACTTTTACCACATGGGAACTTTCTATATTATTTAACCATTTAGTACTGAATATTGTTAGTGAATACTACTTATTTTCAGCGAAATCTATTCCCAGATATTTTGGGACATATTATTTTTATTAGTAGGATATTAACAATATTAAAATCAATTTCATCTTTTAAAAAAAATTATGATAATTCTGCATTACAATAAGTGTATGCCAATAGATTGAAGAAATTCAAAACGTCTTTCAAATGAACACTGATTAAAAATAAATATGAAATACATAATTACGTGCCTTGAGATAAACAATTATAAATACTCACAGTATTTGATATTTCTTTGGAAAAGCTTGGATCAGTTTGCCAGACGAAATGTTGAATTTACCTCAAATTCTTTCACTGAGATTTTACAAATACAATCTTCCTCTTTAATGATAAGTACTGTTTTGACAATTAAAGCATCTTTATAAACATGCAGCATTTACATAGTGACTGCATGCATGGAACTGATAATTAGTTTACAAATATTATTGACAGAAGGGGTTTTGTGGAGATTTTAGTAACCTAGAAGCTTCCGGGTTTTCCATGATGGTCTAGCTTCAATTGAATCATGATTTCAATTGAAGTTATTCATAAAAATCAACGGAATAATTTTGTATAAATAATGTTTATTACATTTAATACAAAAAATTAAAAAAAAACTCCTTACTGTTTTGATAGATTTTAGTAATTTATAAGAATGCCAACAACTTGTGGATTTCCTAATTGTCGATTTCGTTCACGTTATCGTGGTGCTGAAGATAATCGACATTTTTATCGTGTACCAAAGAAACCTGCAATATTACGAAAGAAGTGGCTAGAAGCAATAGGTAGAACTGAAGAAACAATTGTTAGCCAGGTTAGTTATTGAAATGATTGATTTTTTCTGGTTGGGTATTGATATATTAGTTTAATTTCTTTATTAGAAATAAGTCTAATCACAGTTATCTTTACATTAAGAGTATAATACTAATGAAATCATTGCAGACATAATGTGCGTTGAGTTTTAGTCGTTAAATATTATTATACACGTTTAATAATGGTCAGTAGAAATGATCAATATATATATTTATTATAGTTATCTCTGAAGATTTTATTAATTAAAAGGAAGTTTTACTTGTAAACTTACACTAGTTGGAGTATTAATGAACATTATGAAGTAAAAAGTTGCTGCATAGTCCCGATTTGAAACTTATTATTAACTAGAAATAAAATAGTATAAAGAATCTTTTATTATCTCAGAAAGTATGGTCCTTTTGTTTGTATAGACCGTAGCTAATAAGATTGAAAAATTGTGTAAAAGTGTCGATCTCAGTTAATGTCAAATGAGTAAGATTAATTTATCACTGGTTTTACGTTTTTTCATAGTCAGTAATTATTAATGTTTCATATTTATTGATAATTTGCATTATTCATTCAGCTACGAGTATGCAGTGGTCATTTTTATGGTGGAGAAAAACATGAGGGTGATGTTCCGGTTGCTGATCCAGCAGTTGATGAACCAATAAGAGTTGAACTACCTCCTAAAATCTCACGTTTTCCATCAACAGTGAATAAAAGAAACTGTTGTGGTACTCGAGGTGGTGGTGGCGTTGGTCGAGGAAGAGGATTGCATCATACTCAAGGAATTAGAAATAAGATGTGTTTTTTAAAATCAGGAATGCTCAATTACATGACAAAACATAATAATTGTTTAAATATGTTGGGATCATTTAAACCAAAGCACACATTGGCATCCAATTCAACCCAATCATCTTCAATTCTAAGAAACGATCATAAAATTCGGGCTAATAAGTCAACTAATATCATTAACAGTAATAATGATTCTAATAGTCCACTGATGTGGTTTAATAATTTATATTCTCCTCATATTTATGATTATCTGAAAACAATCTCACTAAATACTTCTACATCATCATTACCTGAATTAAATACAAGTAAAAAATATTTATATGATCCAAGAAAACACTTCAATTCAACCTCTATTAATAAAGATCAAGCTGTTCTACAGAATTATTCATATCAATCACCTCAACAAATAAACTATCCAATAGATAAATACACTTCATTTATTCATACTTCAAGATGTCATACTCCACTCACTTCAACAACTGTCTGTTTAACAAATCTAATTCAAAATGAAAATAGTATATTGAAAAAGTCTTGTAATTCACCTTCCAATAGTAATGATAATATTAATAATATAAATAGTATTATTAATGATCATAAACCACAATCTGCATTCTCATCAGTAACAAGTATGTTTGAAAATAATAATAATAATAATAACAATAATAAATAAGTAAGGATTTCATTAATGACAGTGATTATCTAATGAGAACTTCATTACTATCAAATAAAGAACAATCTTTATTGAATATTCCTACGGATACGACTAAAAATCAGTTTACTTCTACAATTTCAATACCATTTACATCAAATTTATCAACAGATTATTTTTTATCATTAACATCAGTAATCAATAATGTTTTGACAAAAAAATTCACTGATACTTATACTAATTCATCGAAATTACATAGTTACAATCAATTATATCAACAAGATGAATTATATAATCAAAATTATTTAAATAATGAATATAATTCATTATCAAATTATTCATTAAATATAATCAATTCGAATAATTCAATAAATAATAATTCAATAAATGAAATTAAAGATTTATCTATTAAATCGGAATTCATTAAAGAATATGAAAATAGAATGAAATATCATATAAAACCTAATGAATTCTATTCATTCAATGATTCTAAACAGAATAATCATGAAAGAGTAGAAGATAATGATTGTTTTATTAAATTGAATAATTATAATGAATCAGTAAATGATACTGTTTATTGTAATCGTTTACAGATAAAAGGTTTGTTATCATGAATAATTTATATATTTTATTGTTATAATTTAATGAAAATGAATATTTAGCTTTAGAGAATGTTGCTATCAATGATTCTAAAATATATACTGTACTCTTTTATTAAGTTTTATACTTTCAACTAGTTATTGACTATTTATTATTGATATTATTGGTTATGATTGATAATTGGAAGCTTCAAGGTTATCACTCATACTAGAATTAGTCAGTATGATGTATCGTATTTAAATTATCATTTTGACAAGAACTCAAGCATTAAATGTATATATGATTGTTTCTAATAATAAATAGGGCTACTAAAACCAATCCAGTTTTCTGAATTGTCAATAAGTTGTATGTATTAAACTTATTGTAATTTATTTCATACGCATGGTTCCCTTTGTTACCTTAAAGAGAGCCAATACAAAGATTAGTATGAATTTTTTTAGAATCTTATCAACTGATTACAATCTAAAATGTTAGTGAAGATGAATAACATAACTTTAGAGAATGTTGTCATCAATGGTGCTCAATACAGTTGTACTCTTTGACACTTTCGACTATATATCATACATTATTATTGATACCATTGGTTATGATTAGTAGTTTGAAGCAAAAAAAATTTTAAATCATCATTTCGACAAGAACCCAAGTAGTATATGTATATATGGTTGTTTCTAATAATAAATAGGGTTTCTGAAATCAATCAAGTTTTCTGAATCGTCAATAACGTGTATGTATTACACCTGAAGTAATTGATTCTAAGTGAAAATATAGCACTTGTTCTAGGTATATAATAACTCAAAAGTGATATTTTCGGTGTAAATTCCATTAGTAGAATGTATATTTTTTAGAATTAGTATATAGTTTTTGCGAATAACTAATTTTTGGTTTATATCATTATTATGATAAACATGTAGCCGTAAATAAATCCCCAAAACCAATAACTCTTTAATTCTTTGATATTTGATGCTGACCACTATAGTTTTACTGGACTCACCTAACTGAAGGTTCTTGGTCACACATCCTCACTAGATCATGAATGGGTACGCCATACTACACATCCCTTTCAAGTACAAGCCAGCTTAGACATAACATTCCTTCGATACACCATTGGCCTTGCAAATATGTCTTCAAATTCTTTCATTTCTGAATTCAGACTTGACTGGGATTATAAAGGTGTTCCTGATCAAGGGGTTGTCGAGCTCCGAATACTTATGGCATCTTTAAATATATTTTATTTGTTGAAGAAGCTAGTGACTATCTAGACTCAGTAGCACAATGATTAACATGTTAGTTTTTTAAAGCAAAAGGTATTGTGTTCTAGTCTCGACGTCAATATCAATAGTAGGATGCACATCTATTCAGCCGAAGAGTCCGAAGTAAGATGAAACATTTGTTCTGGATTCCATTCCTTGACTCAGTTCATCTACTTTCTAGTGTTTGTTTTGTTTAAATTTTTTATCTTATGATTAAACAATACAAGTTAGAATAATTAATATTAATTTTTCTAACAATTATAAAACAGGGATTTTTTATTACCAAGAAAGTAAACTTAATAAATAATTGTCAATGTTACCCTTAAAGTGATACTAATGTTTCCCTGTTTTTTTGTCAACAAATTGAATGTACTTAAAAAACGTCTGTTACGAAATGATCTATTGAGTATGTAATTCGAAATGTATGATTTTTTAAGGGATTCCAAAGTCACTTCTTTTTGATAAGTGAGAGTTATATTCATCAACCGGTTTGTTACAGATTTATTTTTATTTTCTAACTAGTTTATAATAATTTTTATGAAACGCCTAATTGATAGAATTCGATTGGCACTAAAAAGGAATCGAGAAACATGACGTACGTCACCACTCAGTAATCAGTCAGTCGTAGATGCATCTTAGTCCTATTAAAAGGAAAGTTGAGGCACAGATAGCTCAATGGTAACGTCTAAAACTATGAAGTTGGATGAAATGATATCGTATGTACCGAGGAGCAACGGTTTATTCAAGATTACAGGTTCACCTTACTAACAAGTGCCAACTGTTACGAAACCGATGTCTAGGGTTTCGTTTCAATTACCTCTAACCCTAACCTTCCGAAACACTTGATTTCTCACTTAAACTCTTACTAATTAATTACTATACTGTAGGCTTAACGAACGAACTTTTCTATTGACGAAGAATTGTAATTATATGATCAAATAAAATATGTATTACAAGTCTTCGAGTTATCTTTCATCAAAAATCAAGGCATATCATATTTGTGCTTTTGATTTTGAAATGAATGTGTTTCTTTGAATTAGAGGCACAAACTAAACAAAATAACTATTAAGGGATCAAACTGTTTCCGCAATTATTCTAAAAAAATATTACATCATTTACGTTAAAAGATAATTAAAATGTTCACTTCTCTATCTTATAGAACGCTTTTACATTGAAGGAAATACATTGATTGATGTGAAACTTATCGCTAATCCAAAACAAACTAGTTTTGAAAATTAATTAATCAATCAGTCTACCCTGATAGATTTACATACGTTTCATTTTGGTGGAAGTTTGTTCTTTGAGCTGCATGATTTGATCATGAAGAGTTCAGTAGAGAAATTCGATTAGTTCACTTTTATTTGAAGCTCGTGCTGATAATATTGTTTTAAAGGACAACGAAAGCTATATAATTAAACCATCCGGTTCAAAGAAAAAACTTCCATTAAAATCATCTAATTAAACTATAAATCTTTTCCACCATCTCAAAATTATACAGATTTCAGAAATTGGTAAAATAATGAAAGACTACTAATTCTTTTCATAAACCTGCAGGATTTGTGTAAGGATATATGGGGCTATCTGAGGAAAAGGTATGGTTCGATTTCTGTGCTTAATAACAATTAAAGTTATATTCACCCTCACGTATGAAATAATATGGTGAATCAGTTTTATAGTAAATAAAGTGAAATATTTTAGTGTACATCATTTGCATTGGCAACAATTTTTTTTATCACAAATTAACATCAGATAGTAAATGTCTTAAAATTCTTTTCAGAAAACCGTACACTTAGTAACTGTATGGTTATTAGTAATTAGTATTGTGTAAGATTCCCGAAAGTTATAGTAAAATGTGACTTACGGAATTAAATCTTGGATATTTCATTATTTTATTTTACTTCACTCTTTTAGCTATGTGTCAATTATGTATCCTTTAACTTCTAGAAATTATCTCTTTTTCTGCTGTAATGTACTGTAACATTTTGAATTAGGGTGTACTAATAAGCATGGCTTAATATTGATGCATTTATTTATTTCATACCTACTTTTGAAGAGCTTTCAACAAAACTAATAAATTATTTCATAACTGATAATTCTGACCGCGAGGAAAAGGATTACATAGTTTTGAGTATTTCACATAGTTTTGGTTTTCGTAGAAGTCATGAATATATTTTTATGATCAATTTCAATATAGGAGCAAATCGCGTTCTGGATTTAGAAACGATGGAATGTGGTTAGAAATAGAATCCAGGACCCGTATTTCATTCTACTTAGGATTCGTCAGCTGTATGTGCTTGGATTTCATAGTTAATGTTTACCCCAGGAATCTAACATAGTACCGTTCGCTTTCGACGCCATAGCGTTATTCACTTAGCTACTGAATTCAGATAGTATTCACTTTTGCAATGCATATGAGTTTTAATACAATTTGAATTTTAAAGTTGAATTCATGAGTCAGTTGAAGCTAGACCACCATGGAAAACCTGGAATCACTGAATGGCAGTTTCGTTTTATTGTGCACTTCCTCAGTAGTGCACCTCCACGATCCCATCTCGCGAGATTCAAACCCAGAACATATCGGTCTTCTGCACGGACGCTTAACCTCCAAACCACTGAGCTGGCCGACATCCAACGGTGTTTATATCTAACTTCAACTAATCCACGAAGTTGCGCCACTGTACACCATTGTCTTCAGTGAGTTGATATCTCACAATTGATATCACCCAATTGAACTCCACTTGTCACTGCTTCTCACTAGAACTCCAGGAGTATCTCTTGAAGTCAGTCACTAGTGAGCAAATGGGTTCGAATCTCGCGAAGTGCGGGATCATGGATGCGCACTGCTGAGGAGTCCCATACTAGGACGAAACGGCCGTCCAGTTCTTCCAGGTTTTGCATGCTAGTCTAGCTTCAATTGACTCATGATTTCAACCAGTGAAATAATCATTGAAACAATCTCTTATCATTAATTACAAAATGTTAAAATTAGTAGATTCAATAGTAAACAAGCAGTAAATATGAATATTAAATTATTAGTTCATTAACTAGGTAATTAATTACAGAATAATTTACAAATACATTTTTAAAAGAATATGATTGGTTAATTGTATTAACTACTTTTCAATTGAGGAGTATACTCATTTGTATGTGTGGGCGTGTAATTAGAGAAGTAATTTTTGTTGAAAAAATACTATTGAAAATAAATAAATGAATATGGAATCTAAATAACTTTGGTTAAATAATAATAATAATAATAATAATAATAACTTTATGGAATTCCTTAGGAACAATAGATGTAAGATAATTGTTTAGTATAATTCCCAATATTTGATTTATTTTATTTAAATATTGTTATTATTTTCTTTAAAACTTTAGGATAATACAATAGCCAGTTGTTTTAATCACAAATGAAGAATGTAATTTACATATCGTTTTGTATTTTTCGCAATTATAGTTTGTTATATTTAATTATGAAATGTAATTTAGTTTTGTTTACATTTGTAAGGCTTCATTTCTTTTCTCTTTGTTGCTGTTAAGGCCTGAAATTGACTAGTCTTTGTTGGTATATATACGTTCTGAGTAGATTACTTAGGTGAAGTTTTGTTTATTGGGCTAGATGATTTAGTCGTGTAGCTTTTATCGTTCTTTTGAACGTAATCATCAGCACGAATTTCTGGTTGAAGTGAAGTGTTAGAATTTCTCCATGTTTGACTCGCAACTTGTCCTGTCGATCTTTATCTTGGTTAACTTGATTTTTTCATTTAGTTACAAGTTTCTATTATATTTGTATATTTGTATATAGTGGAGTCAAGAAAGCGTGTTTCATCCGATTTCAGATTCGTTGGCTTGGTCTTTCTTCGTCTCAGTGTTAACATTCACATCGGGATTCGGACTCAACAACTTGTGTATTTGAATTCAGTAGCTCACTGAATGATGAGTTGAATATATCAAGTTAAAGATACTAGTTTCGAGTCTTGGTGTAATTAATAACACTGAAATGACTGAAGATAAATGAGTTCAAAATGGGAAGAAGCGCGTCTCTTAGATTCTACCACTTGGCAAAATCTAACTTTAACAGAAACATTTCGTACACTCATGATCAGTGTTATCATTATTATTAGTTCGTCTGTATTGTTTTTCAACTAGTGAGAGGTATTTTGATTTACAGAGACGGTATTAAAATTTCCAATAGAAATTCGAAAACCTCTAAAAACTTGCTATCAGTTTACAAATAGTCATAATCAAGATGATCGGTTTGGTGTTAGTTTTCATTACGGCTTACATGATAAGTTTCATCATGCTAGTGTGTCTTTTCAAGAGTATTGATCACATTTTGGATAATATTGAAATTTAACTAAAGTTATTTCATGAATCACTTAACAGTACATGCACAAATCATGTTTATCTCAACCATTTGAACATCAGAAATAATAATATATTACATAATTTATGTAAATTAGATGAATTTTAAAGTGAAGACGTTAGTAATGGATTAAAAAACAGTGACTATCTATCACTGGTGGATGGCGGCTGGCAGTGGAATTCAGGACCCGCACTTCGTTCTATGTGGGGCTCATCAACTGGATGTACCTGCATTCCAGAGTTGATGTCCACTCCGGGATGTGAACCTAGTACCGTTCGCTTCAAATGCCATCGCATTATCCACTTAGCTATTGAGTCCTGATAGCCACTGGCTTGTGCAATGGGGTAAAGTTTAATTCATTTTTCTATTGGTTGCTTGAATCTTCCCGTTGCAAGTACATCCAGCTGACATGCCCCACATAAAACGAAACGCACCTCCTGGAATTCACTACTAGCCACCATCCATCTTTGCTTATAATGCTCGTGACTTAAGGCGATATCGAGGCAGTCTTCATATGATGCATATATATAAATAAGAGATTGATCAATTGCAGTCCTAAACATTAACGGGAAGATTCAAACAACAATACAAAATAAATTTAACTATCATTGGTATTATCTGTTTCTAAAAGATAAATATGATTTAGCGTAGATTACATGTTAATTTAAAGTAACGATTGTAAAGAAATTAAAAAGAGAAATCTTATCTTGAAAAACAGCTTTGAAACTGACAGCTTCCAAGAAAAACATCAAAACAGTTTAAAGTACTAGGTTATACAGTTCATATATTGTCCAGGATTTAAAGATATTTCGATCACTGTATGTTGTACCAAGTTTTCATATAAATGAGACATAATAATCTCTTTTTACAATCGATTATAAATTAGATAAATTATTGTAAATTTTTGTTAGATTCCAAATCAATCGGTATAAAGTAGGGGAGATTTTCTACTATGACTACTAAGTATCTGTTATTAGTAATAGGCATTACATCATTGCTTTTGATATCAGAAAAGAATGAATATTTAGATTTCTTCATATAAATAACTTATGCGATGACATATAACGTTTCACATTAGTAAATATGTGATAAAACGTGGATAGATTTGTAAACTTTTCGATGAGTCCATTTCTTTGGCTTATTAAATCTCTAAGAGAAACTCAGTTACTTACTAGTTAGCAGATTTAATCTAGTCAGTAATCTAGAGCTAAGTCTTCCATTCAATGGACTGAAATCACCTTACATCAGATATACTCTGTCTCACTATCCAGTAACTTAAACTAATGGTCACATTATAACATAATCGATCGAATTTGATCAGCATTTATGATCAAACAAAATGACACTGTTTACTATTAAGTAATCAGTCAGCAGTATGAAAATTTGTTGTTATACCTGTTCAGTGTATATACAACCTCAGTATTTAATAATACGTTAATACAATTAATAAGAACTATTCAGTTACTAGTCTTAGTTTTAATTAATAATAAGTACAGCTAGATTGAAATTTAAAGTTATTTTTATTATAAAAAGTAATGTGTTATTATTATTATGAATGTTCATTTTCCTTTGGTTTTTTTTTTTAAGAGGAAAGATCAAATCAAGTAGAAGATATTCCTTCATTAAATCGCATAGTTCAATATGTGATTTTTATTGGTATTGACGAGTTAACAATTGAAATGCCGATTCTTCACGATGTAATTAATCTGTTATGTGTTCAGTATTCAGATTTAAAGAATCTTCCTGAACATGTAAGTATACTGTTTAATTATTTTTTTCTAAATCACAATACATTATTATTTATAAAAGATTAAGTATCATGATTACTTATTTCAAACTAAGATGGAATTCTACTAAATTTAACAAAATCAAGAGAATCATGGTAACTAGAGATGGTGTTATTAACAGTTTACTGATAAAAAAAAACAGAAAAAATTATTAGAAATTATTATTTATAATGAAATAACATTAAGTGTATGAAACTATTGACAACATGCGACAACAAACAATTATTTCTTTTTATCAGAAGGGGGAGGGTTTACATGGTGGTCTAGCTATAATTGACTCATGAACTCAACTATTAAACTATTATTTTTTAATTTCAATAGTTGAGATCATGAGTCAATTAAAGCTCGATCACCATGGAAAATCTGGAACCACGGGATGGCCGTTTTGTCTTATTGTGGGACTCTTCAGCGGCGCGCATCCACGATCCCGTCTCACGAGATTCGAACTCAGGACCTATCGATCTCGCGCACGAACGCTTAGCCACTAGGTTTTAATGTCTAACTCCAACTAATCCATGAAATTGAGCGACAAATTCACCATTGTCTCCAGTGAGTTATTATCTCACAACAGACCTGATTGAACTCCACTTGTCACTGCTTCTCACTAGAATTCCAGCAAATACCTCTTGAAGCCAGTCACTAGTAAGTGTACGATGATTATTGTCAGAAGAGGTTTTGTGGATATAAGAGTAATTTCGGTAGTTGAGATCATGAGTCAATTGAAGCTAGACCACTACTGAGGAGTCCCATACTAATACGAAGTGGCCGTCCAGTAATTCCAGGTTTTCATGATGGTTTAGCTTGAATTGACTCATGATTTAAACACTTGAAATTATTATTTCTTTTTAGCTTGAAACTTTTCACAGTGCTTGATTCAACTCAATATTATATTGGAACCATACATTGTAAGTGTCGTTATATAGTACTTAGGATTTACATGCTAGGAAAAAATAACTACCTAGTTTGTCCTGAAATTTAGTAGCCCTCTAAATGATGTTAGTCCATGAAAGTGATAAATTTCAAGCTAGTCCAGTGATACTACTCGAAAGCACTGAAGGAACGATATCATTTCCAAACGTTGAGAATAGTGGTCTAGTTGGTTAAGCGCCTGACGCGAGACTGATAGGTCCTGAGTTCATATCTCGCGGGGTGCGGGATCGTAGATGAGCACTGCTGAGGAGTCCCATACTAGGACGAAATGGCCATCCAGTGCTTCCAGGTTTTGCATGCTAGTCTAGCTTCAATTGACTAACGATTTCAATCAAATCTTTATTTAACCAAAAGTTTTTATTCATTAAATTACTTATATAAATAATCATTTCAATTCATCAACAAGAGGAAATATATTTTAAAATTATGTAAGAAAATGTAACATTTCTATTCACAGAAAACATATGAATAATAATAATAATAAAGCTGTATTAGTATTAATAATAATAATAAAAGACAAGGTATCTTATGCATTATGTTTTATCAAGATAATGTTTTTGTTCATTCATAGATACAATCCATAAACATATATTGAGAGCATACATTTTTTTCACTTAGGAAATAAAGTAACATTACTATTATGTTACTAAGTATTAACAGGAACAAAACAAAAAAATAATAAATAAACAAGAATTTATTAAAAAATTTTTCTCTTTTTCTCCTTATTTATAATCAAGATTCGTCAAAATGTTTCAGATATAGTTACTTATCAGGAAATGATATTGTCAGCTGAATATCTTCAATATTTATCAGCTTTGAAAAATATTTACATTCCTGAATGTTTAACTTGTATGAATTGTTGGGATGAAGTGAAAAATCTTGGTAAGTTCAATGAAAAGAAAATGATGTTTTAACGTTTAAATGTCAGTGTTGAAAATTGATATAATCTATTTTTAATAAGATTCAAGATATTTTAATGTTAGGTAGTACATTATTTTCTATTTGAAACTTTAACTGGAGAAAACAGCATCTAACTATTAGTATTTACACAGAAATTCGAACTAAATAACTTTCTTTTCAAACACCAAACTTGCTATCCACTGAACTATTTAGGTTGAAACACCATCAGCTTGTGTAGTATGAATGAATTATATTTAATTTCAGTTTATGAATCTTCCAATTGTTGAATTACTGGATTTTAATCGATCCATCTTTTTTTATCTAAGTTCATCATGAGAGGATCGTCTTAATCTGTTTATTTCAGAAAAAGTCTTTACATATGATTAAAATGTCCTAAATAACTTCGACATTTCATGACTTTTGTTACATTCAGAGAATTGTAGTGGTAAATATCTCAAAACACAATAGTGATTTCTTTAGGAAAATGTTGATAAAAATTTCATTTTTTTCACATTATGTTAAGCATATACATTAAATCGCAAGTAATTTCAATTATCTTGACTTGTTTTAAAACACCTTTCTTCAGTAATATGGTTGACTTACTTAATTGGACATTTTATTTCTTCTCAAGTGAATATTTAGTTAAACAGATATGCTCTATGTGATTTTTGATGACTAATTATTTATTTTGTTGAATTTTTCAACGAATACAACTTTTGTTATGTAGATACTTTTCCCCTCTTAGTTATAGCGGGAATTTTCATTCCCTCATTCCCTCACTCACCCACTCACTCCTACTTTGCTCTTCCTCTTCCCTTATCCTAATCCCACTACAGATTGATACGGTAATGAGTTAAATTGGGTGTGACTTATGTAACCAAGTTCTTAAAAAATGAAAAAAGAAAAAAAAGGAAAGATAATGATATTCGTAAACACATATTTGCGTGATAAACTCAATGTGCGATAATTAATTTGGCTATTGATTTGCATTGTCCCATATTCTTATTTCGAATTAATCACCATGTTACATAGATAAGGAAAGATAACCATTCGTCATATTGTATGTTAGTTATAATATGAAATTATTATACGCGTAGGATAAGTTTATGATGTAAAACTTTTGGTAATTCTGATGTAAATCTATCGTATAAGTAATATTGTTTCAATTCTTATACAATACAATGGACATATTACCTATTTGTTACGACCAATAATGTTATCTTTCGTTCAGATAAAGAACTTTTCAATTGAATTCGAACTACCGAATCATAAACAAAGCGCCAATTCTTCACACCAAAGTCTGGAAACGGTAAACGTTAAAAATATGTATTAGTGTTTGAATCAACTACTATAAACTTAAGGTTGAGTACTTGATAAAACATAGAGATCCAGTAATTCGAATTATTGTTTAGTCGTAGTCTCCAAAAATAAACAAAACATATGACAATTGCGAATTCACAAACAAATGAATAAATATGCCAGTTTACTTGATTAGAAACAGTTTTAATCCTGATGTTAAAGTGTGGTTCTATAAACGTCTCGAGTCACGATCTGTTTAAGTTCACGTTGTAGGATCACCATTGGACTTTTTGTTAGCAGATGCAAAACTGGAAAAAAAAGATAGATAAAATAAATCATCAGTCAGCTAAAATTTTGCTGTCACTATATTGAAGATAGTTTAACGGTATAAGAAAAATAGGGATGAATAGGATAATTGTTTGAACATATTCAATAACGTTTGTTCAACAATTACATTTAATCATGAATAATAACTAAGTGATAGTAAAACATTTTTAAATGTTCACTTGGAAAGAATATCACATGGGATAACAAAAAGAGTCATCAATATAAAATCACCGACTGGCCAATATACTAACTTCCACAGATATAAAATAAACTTGAAGTCCTGGCTTGCTTACTTACTTACTCCTGTTACTCCTCGTGGAGGAGCATAGGCCGCCCATTAGCATTCTCCATCGAACTCTGTTTTGAGCAATCCTTTCTGGTAATTTTCAGTTGCTACTCATCATTTAAATATCTGTTCCCAATTCCTAATGCAGTGTGTTCTTCCTCTTGCTGATCGGAAGTAAACTAAATAGTATCCTTGAAATAATGAACCGATCCAAGTTAAGTCGACTTTTAAGACCTAGAATCAATGGACTTCTATTTCATCCTTGCATAGAACTCTTCGGCAGTACACATTCACCCCTGAGGATCAAACCCGAAATCATCGGTTCAGCATACAAACCACTATATCCGAATTCAACGATCTTAATGTCTAACCTCAATCTATATGTTGTTATTTTTTCATTGAATTCTGTATACCATTAGAAGTCATAACATAAACATAATCAAATATACTGGTAGTACAAAATACATACTACCTATTAACTTTTAATTAACGAAAGTATCTTATTATTCGACTCGTATCAAATTTCTTTCTTTCTTTCTTTCTCTTTTATTTTGAATCGGTAACATGTTTGTCCCTACTTTAGAAAAAACAAAAAGGTCAATATACTTTAACATAAATATACGTTAAACTGGGTTTAATAAATTTTTTTTAGAAAAAAAGGAATCACAATAAAACATACAAATTCATTGTTCAGTTTTATTCTTTTCTCTTTTTTTTTTGGAGTATTTTCAGATTAAATTTCAATTATAACTTTCTATATAAATAAAAAAAGGAAAAAAAGAAAACTGAATTAATTAGTTAGTTAATAATGAAATCATTATTTATTATTATTATTATTACTAATAAGAATAAGTTATATTAGTTTAATTTAATTGAACACACTTCCAATGTATAATAGTTAGTAGCATATTAGTTTAAGTATTATTGTTTAATATTCAATGGGGTATGATAAGGTGGTATAATTTGTAAATGTTTCTTTTTTGTATTCTATTTTAATTTATCTAATAATTATTTTGGAAATAAAAGATTTATTTGTCGAATATATAATGTGATAAATAATGAAATGCCCTTAAATGCCCTGGTACGACTTAGGGTGGGAATATTTAGCTCTCCCTATTGAAATGCTCTCAAACAGTCATACATATACAGCTACTGCTATGGTAGTCCTACTCACTGCCTTCTCATAGGGGGGGGTGTTGTTTGCGAAATTGAGAGGACGGAAAGAGAATATCCAGCGCTTTAACCGGGTTGATGGACATAAAAGATCTACCTAGGGGAGTGGGAAAACCCTGATTCCAAACCAATGGTGCACATGAACTTCAGGATACTGAGGGAACAAATGGAGTATGAACCAATTATTGATGACCGGCTACCATCGGACTGAATTTCCTGACGTTGCTCCATTACCTTGTGGGTCAGACCTTTAAGTTGAAGGCTTCGTGTGTGGCCCCCTAAAAAGCACCTACTTCCATTTGGGCACACGAGCACTATCACAGCCCATACACAAACCAAGTGACATGTGTGGTACATGTGTATTCAGTGCCCCTTTCTACCAATATTTATGTGCTCAAATAAATAAATAAATAAGATAATGAAATCTGTATTTTATCATTCTATTTAATAGTAAATAGTTAAATCACCATAGAGGTAGTGAAGCTATTCATAAGTTGTTTTTATCATTGTGGAGAAATTGATTCCTCTTTATCGTAATATAAATTCTATGAATTATGTTGTAATACATATAACAATTTCTACGACTTGATATAACAGTGCAGTTTGTTTTGGGTAAGATGGTTAGGAATTATGAACCAAATATTTTTATGGCTTAGGATTCATTAACAAAATGTGACTGAAATTTCGAAAGATGTGATTTTGTCGTTGAAAGACGAATACGCGTCACCTGGCGTCAGTCAATCTATAGAATTTGTTAAATACAAAAGATTAGGTAATATAAAGGTGGATAATGGTGAGTGATCGATTGTTGGGAATATATCTGTTCTACATGAAAGCAAATGAGGTCTAGATAGCTCCTTGATAATTTCAGCTACAAAAGTATCGTGTTATGTTAACAGTTATAGATAAGTTTCCTAGCAGGCGGAAACTTGGATGGAACTTGAGTTTTAGGTTTCCTGTAACTGCCATCAACAAGATGATACAGTACTATTGGTCTTTATTCAGTCTGATAAATTTCACAGTCAACCAGTAGGATCAAGAGTAACCTAACTTCGTGAAATATTTAAGTCAGGGTTATCTAACTTTTTATCATCACGGACGAAATTCTGATTATCGATTGGAGATCTGTGAGGCGCATCAATGACTGATTAATAACAGTCCATGTCCTGAACTCCTTGATTCTGTGTATCACCAACGGATGCTAACATGTTACTAAAACGATCCTAAGTAAATCGTATATCATAGGAAACAACAAAGTTTAGAAAAAGAAAACTGAGAAATTTGGTCAGACGTCTCACGAGCAGAGCAAAAAAGATCTGTACAGTAGACACTCTAAGTCAGGAGCTTGAATTTCTCAACAACTCACTGACCGAGATCGGCTACCCCAGCGCGTTCATCAAGAAATACATGCAGGATATAATAAAAAAGTCGGAGATTTCAACTGTTCGTAAGAAACCTTTATACATGAAAGTGCAATTCAACGGGGATGTGGCTAGTGACACTCTGAAATATAGGTTAACCAAAGTAATCACCAAGATATTCTACGCAGCCAATCTTGCGTTGACCTCCTCTTGTCGACCAGCGACGTCTACTCAAACGAAGGATAAGTTACCTGAGTTGGCCTCTTCCATGTGCATTTACAAATTCAGCTGCTCCTGTGGAGATAGCTATATAGGGCGTACTACTAGGCAACTTAACCAACGAATGAGTGAACATCTACCAACTTGGTACATAAAGGGTCAGAGAAAAACTATTCGCAGTTCTATACTAGCACATCTTATTGATAGCGGTCATGCAGTAGATAAATCGAAATCATTTCGAGTTATCTATCGTATACCTCCATCATTTCCCGACGGAGTCCGTTCTCGTTTCCTATATATAGCTGAAGCCATTGGAATTCGTACATATAACCCCAATTTATGTGTACAGAAGAAATACGTGACTCCCCTATCCCTTCCATGGCCAGTTATAACTTAACCAACAATTTTTTTAAATTGTTTTTATTTTATTTTAAATTTTATTATTATCATTATTTATTTTATTCTATCTGTGTTATTGTTAACCTTATTTCCACATCCAATATTTGTTTGTCATTATCCGCCTCTTTGTATTCTTCACTATCTAATTAGTAAGTAGTAAAATATATACATAACTCCACCTATTCAAACCTGGATGTAGACACTGATCAGTAATTGAAAATTCATACATTATGTAACTCCCCATGTAACTAGTATTTTAACATTATGTGAGCTATTACCATCATAAAATATTATCTTGGTTTCATCAGTACATTTGAAAATTGTTGTTCATGAGTTCCTGCTAAATTTTTGCACAAAACGTCGTTGATCTGTAAAACATTCACATAACTAATGCTCGTTTACTTTAAGATTTTATCTTTCTACACTTTTACTCTTACTCAATGTAGATTGCTTTTCTATTTTTCTAATGCATACTCAAATACACTTCTATTAATTACTTTTTTTATAAAAATATTATAATTTAGGCATAAATTTACACATCGTACCATTTGAACTTGATGTAAATAAATCAGCTGATTTCATTATTGGTATTATCCTATCCACACATTATGATATCATGTCGATTTATATGAATGACAAAAATCAACCTACTGTCAAACGACCAGCATCATCACCTTCACAATCGATAATGAACCAACTAGTGCAAATTAACAAACCGCTATATAATCATACTAATGATATTGTATTCAAACATACTACTACTAACGACCAAACAATAGAAAATATTGTATCAAACAATCAAGGGACCCACTTAAATACTGATCGAAATATTCAAATCGGTATTATTGGTTTAGGTAAGTTGGTTAATTATTGACTCGATATTTGTCTATACAAAAGTTTTCATCTTCAATTAATTTTTCCTGTATGTGGGAAAATCCATTATTCTACTACACATATGTTTATTGTTATTCGTATGGCTTTAATCTATCAACATCATTCATTGAGTAATTTCAGTAGCTTCAATAATATTCGTGTGTGACAATTTTCGAACCCAAGTTTTGCTATTGGCTGTTTTGAGTTATGTAATAGTTCCTTTTGGATAATCTCTCTTTCATTATCAATTTAATATCTGATATAATTTTCCAACTACTTCGATAAATTACATAAAAGTGTGGTGATATAAACATAATTTTTGTTGTCGGTTAGTTTTATTGGTCAGGAGAGACAATTATTTTTTCAAATGGCAATGTTCTTACTACATAGGTTTCCTCCTCAAGGCTTAATGGTTACATCTCAATAATTATTACAGGGAACGAATTTTATATTAAGTGAATGTCAAAAGTGACTGGAATGATTATCAATCTATAACAGAATGTCATAAAAATTATCAATAATTGATTCTAACAAAACCCATTGTTTAATTGATAGATTATCGTACTAATTCAGTCAATAGTTTTATTTCTGACTTCTTTTTTATCAGAATACTATGCGAAGATCAACTATCCTATTAAAAAAATGAATTTGCAAGATCAGATAGGATAATGATAAGAGTTCTTGAGTGTTTGATCGCATAATTAAGCTATCAAAAGGAATTTTCCAATTCATAAGAATAAAAGACAGCTTATACTAGGTTAAAAAATTATTTTAAAACAAAGCTGATAGTATCAACTATAGAAGATTATTATGAGGTTGAATAAGGTCGACATTAAATCCTGTTTGACTAAGTTCTCCTGCAAGATGGCACTCTTTAACAAGGCATGTCTAAAACCATGAGAGAACTAATACTCCCTGTGAGGTTTGAAAGCATTTCACAAAGCATTATGTTCTGAAACATTATCACTGAGCTATTCGGTCCTGTATTGACCTCCTGTGGGTTTGAGACTTTAATTTTTAAAATTGTTATAACCAGGTTATAGGAAAGCTGATGGAATAACTTGAACGGGTGCAAATATAATCTAGGTTCTGCATTCTATACATCTGACTGTTTGACCGATAGAATAAATAGGGTTTTTTTAATCATAGTAAAGTATGACTGGTAGAGTTGACCTTATGAAAATAAAAATCAGGTTTCAAGTGTTTCATAGATGAAGTTTCTGTCTATACCAGAATGGTATACTTGATTACTACCTTGTATTTTATTTATCTACATGATAACCTCAAATAGATTGTAAAATTTACAAGATCAATATCATGAAAGATCTTAGTTAAATGTAAATTAAATAACTCCATCTCTATCGTTGATTTATTTTTGTTTCTATTGTATCCATACTTTTCTCCTTTTTCGAAAACAGGTCCAATCAGTTTGACTATTATACGTCAATTAGAAAAATTTAAGTATAATATTCGTGTATTTGATAAATATTTACCTGACGGAATTGACACTGTGTTCAATTTAAATTATACAAATAATCATGAAGAAATTATTTATGAATCTGATTGGATTATCTTTATCCAAGAAGCAAGTATCCTAAAGGATTTGAAATTATTTGGAAAAAGTGATATCTATTCTCCGTTGACAGTGAATGAAATATTTAACGAGAATATAAAAGCTAAAATAAAAAGTGGTAAATTTATATTCTCGAATATATATATATATATATATATATATATATATATATATAAATCAGAGAAGGGTTTTTGTAGATATTATAGTAATTTTAATAGTTCATATCATGATTCAATTGAAGACAGATCACCATGGAAAACCCGAAAGCACTGGACGGCCGTTTCGTCCTATTGTGTGACTCCTCAACAGTGCGCATTCAGACATTAACACCATTGGGTGCCGGCTCAGTGGTCTAGTGGTTAAGTGCTCACGCGTGAGACTGATAAGTCCTGTGTTCGAATCTCGCGAAGTTGGATCGTGGATGCACATTGCTGAGGAGTCCCACAATAGGACGAAACGGCCATCCAGTGCTTCCAGGTTTTCCATGGTGATGTTGCTTCAATTGACTGATGAATTCAATTTTTAAATTCATATATATATATATATATATATATATATATATATATATTTAATACTAGATACTTTATTTTCCTCTCAGTTTTAATCTGAACATTAACATTGCGTTCCAGATATATTTAGTTGGTGAATCTGAAATAAGACAAAATAAGTGTCCAGGACTTCAGTGCTAGACTTGAATAAATATTTCATGAAAAAAATTCACTTTAGATTAAAATAAGGAAATTTTATATTTATGAATTGAATGAATACATACTATATAAAATTCACTTTCGAGTTTTATTAAGTACTATATTATGTATTTCAAATTTTATTAAACGACCCTTTGGTTTTTGAGTGATATCACGGTTCGGAATGTTCCATTGGCATTATTCATACCATTATTGACATTGGTAATCATAAAGATGTAAGAGAGTAACAAATAACATGCATTATGAAATTAATGATCTAATTTCCACTGTTGATGGTTTAAAAAGAATATATACGACAAAATGAACTCTTTTAATGTTGATTAGTTATTTTACTAAATGTTTACTTTGGTAAGACATTTATGTCATTTTGCGTCAAAATTACATTTAAAGAAAAAACAGTTGTATACCGGCTCAGGGGTTTTAAGGTTAGGTGCTTATCATAAGACCTGATAGTCGCTGGCAAGGTCATGAATGCACACCTCCAAGGAGTTTCATGCTAGAATGAAACATTTATTCACTGTTTCATGGAATGCAACCGTTTCCCAACTAATATCAGCTCATGATGTAGAGTCCTCTATATGAATAAGAATTATGTCTCTGCAAAGTCACTTTAGTTAGTGGTAGTAATTGTGTTCTAAATGCTGACTTCATGATACGAATCTTGATATTTATGTTGAGGACTGTGATCACTGTGGTCAATTAAGTTAAAAAACAAGTTAGTTATTCCTAGATGGTGTTTTGTAAACATCGAAATACTTTGAAAATGTACTTTATTTAGAAAATATAAACTGTAGGATGACTTTGACTCAGTGGTTTAATGGTATTGTGGTTTTTGAGGAAGCAGGTGTTCTTAGGTTTGGTACAGGTTGAAGCTAAGAGTATACATTATGAAGAGTATTCAACATGTGTTTCATCATAGTTCCTATTTTTCAGTGATTCTTTAGTTATCATCATTTCTTGATGAAAAGTACTTTTACATAAGTAGCTGTCATACTTTCTGAAAATAAAACAAAAACTGGATACGCTTTATTCAGTCATCTTATAATCGAGTATGTAGGTATATCATAATTTTCCATCTCCTTTCATTCCAATCGATTCAATATGTTTTAATTATCATTTATACTACCTTTATATTTTATTTAATTCCCCTACGGACTTTCTGAGATTTGTTTAAACATGATTATATTATGTTTCACTTGAATCATATTATTACAATCATTACTGATGATAGTCTCCTAGTTTAAGCATAAAAATTACCGATTTAATAACACATTTCATAGAATAACATTTAAATATCACTTAAATTCTTGAAAATTGTAGGATGTCATATATTATACATTAATCTGGTTGACGATTATCCACATGAAGTAATTACATTGAATACACTTGTTCACTCTGGCTATGTAGCAGACATCTATGTATTATTAAGGAAACCATGTGAAAAGTTAACTAGTAAGTGTATATTGAAATTTTTATTCTGATAGTTACTGTTTAATATTGTTTACTGTTTTCAATTATTGTTATCATTATGACATGATTTCAGTGTACGAATATAAATGTACTTAGTAAGCACTTAGTAAAACTAGATGAATTATGTCTAGCACTGAAATTCAGCGTGCATATTTGATTTTATTTGGAACTCCCCAACTAGATGTACTTGCACCTCAGTGTCTGTGTTCGGACTGAATGTAACTCAAACTAGGTATCCTTCGTTTCAAACTCAAACGTGTTATTCTTTGAGATATTGATCAAAGATAGTCGGTAAAATGCTGAACGAGTACATTTTTCATACCACTAGTAGTAAAGGTTTAAATTATCTTGTTGTTGATACTGAGGACTGAATTCTGATCAGCTTTGTTATGGGGGTTGACACGATATAGCCATTTCGTCACGTATTATTTTGACTGCCTGGTAATTATTAGTTCAATGAAGGGTTAATTGTTTAATAAATTAATCTTGGATGTTAACTTGAATCGTTAATCCATTCAATCATGAAATCACTTATTCATAGTCATTATTAGAATTTAAATATGGATTTCGATTTTTTCCAAGACTCATTAGATTGATGTACTTACGTTTCTGGTAATGTGAATATTTATAGTTCTGGTAAGAAGCAGTTATCAGTGAGTTTTAACTGTATAATGTAAGGCCGTTGAAAGATAGCAAAGCGATATCGTGAGATAATTGAATGTAAGAATGTACGAGATTGAATGATGTTAAGCTCTCACCTCAAAACCAAGGGTTTCCAGGTTCGATTCCTGAGTGAGTCATTAATTTTGATTGCTTAAGAGTTCCATATTAAGACAAAACGCTCGTTCAATGTTTCCTGGTTTACAGCAGTTGTCTAGATAATTTCATTTTAATCTCTATGACAATATAACTGTATATTACTGTTTAACTCTTGATATGTCTTTAAACGAGAGTTGATCATAATAAACGTTGTTTTAAAATAAATTTATCCCTACTCTAATTATTTAGTTGCTTTTTAGCTAAATTTCTGTAAGATAAGATTGTTTATACGTACTGTGAGTCATATATTTAATCTCTAGGATAATCATGAGGAATTTCTTATATACAGTCTGTAAAAATTTGTCCACTATTTAATTAATCGGAGTATACGAAACCAGAAAATAACAATACCTCAGTACATGAAATACTTGCTTTCTATACTTAAAGGTTAAGTACTTTTATGATCCAATGTTGATTCGATTTTTATTAAAAAACAAGATTTTAATTGTACCGTCCTTTTTGAGTGAAAAATAAAAAAAAATCTGTTTTCTTTTGTGAATTAAACTATCTTACAATGAAATGAATTGTATTGATAATAAAATACTTGAATCAAACGTTAGTCTGGAGTTATCGACACCATATATATCAGGTATCTTTAAAAGTTTGATTTCTAATTACTTTAACTGGTTATTCAGCAATTGTTCCCTAATTCTACCGCTATAATACTTAGTTCATTTGCATTCAATATTTATAATTATTCGATAAATCACTGTTGACGTTGAATACAACGAAATAGGATTGAAAAAAATACTAACTAAAAAGAATAGATTATAAACGAATACTAAATCTAGATAAGTTTAAGATATTCCCTCTTTTATTATTCTGAACAAGGTTTGTTAAGTATACAATTAATAAGAGTTAATAACCTTTGGAATTTTTCTGAAAGTTGGATTTATTTGTAGATTTCGTGATAAATATACGGCAAGACCATTATTTATAGACGAACCAATCAGATTCACAATAACAAGTCATGGATTTCGGCACGAAATTCTTTATAAATTTAGCTAAATAGCGTCTTGACATTTTAGCTGATGTCACTTCGGGATAGAAGCCCTAAATCTAATTGCTATCCCTAACCATCAACTGTAAATCATAATCCCTATACTTCACACAGATTTAAAACCCTCATTAGCTCTAGTCAGTAGGTGAACATTCTCAAGGCCAGTTTAGCGTCGCTCAAACGTTGTCCATAAATTACAGTCATACCCATGTTGGAAATTTAAAATGTATGAATCAGATCATAAATATAAACAATAGTATTTTTTTAATTGAAATCTACAAAAACGAGGAAGTAATCACCTTTTCATAACAATTCTGATGTTACTTAATGAGTAGTCAAAGCTTTAACATCATTTGTTTTACTTTACAGATGAATTCAATATTCAACAATCATCAAATTTAATTTGTTTATATAATAAACTCAATAAACTACAAGTACAATCAAAAGAATTACGTAGAAGTATGAGTCAATTTGTTCGGAGAAATTTGCTTAAAAATTTGATATTTATACCTAAAATCAATGAAATAACTCAAACTGATGTGTATAAATATAAAACTGAACCACAATTTAAAGTGACTTTGAATAATCAAAAAATGAGCACATTGAAGAAAAATACAAATCTGCATCAAAAAATACGTAAGTTTATTCATGATATTTATGAATTCACTTGATAGTTATAATTAGAAGTCTTTTTTTATCCGTCCTAGTGACTAAGATAAACTCACTGGGTCTGTAGTGAACAGAAAACCGGTGGGGACAATCGAATGTATTGAATACAAAATTACAGGACTTGTTAATAAAATCTTACAATCATAAAGTAAATGCTTAATTTGAAAAGTGTCCACCAATTGTCTCATAATGACTCAGACTTCATTGTTCTTGCATTTTCATAAAAATTGCATTTTGTTTCCATTCTTTACTGTTCGATCCTCTTGTCTCTTTGCTGCCAGACCTTCTGTTCACGACTAACATCATATACTACTTATGTCAATATAAGTAGCACACACCACAGAACTATTTAAAATATAAAAACTACGTATATATAAAATCAGTGCGATCAAGAATTCAAAATACTATAAATATCATTCATTTGGTATTTTTTGCATGTTTCTTCACATATGCCAACAAGAAATTAATCAATTGTAGTCCTAAACAACAATGAGATGATACAAACAAACAATACTAAGTGAATTTAATCTTCACCTCATTTCACAAACAAGTGGTTAACAGGACTCAGTAGGTAAGTTGACTTTGTGGTGGCGTTTGAAGTGAACGATACTGAGTTCAAGTCCCGGAGTAAACGTCAATGTATATCCAGGTGACGAATCTCGAATAGGACAAAAATTTGCGTCCTGGATTTCACTGCTAGTCACCATCCATCATTGTTTATGATGAATATCAGTCTAAAATAGTCAGCTACCTTTATGTATTATCTAATTAATATAAAAATAAATATAATGAACACGATTATTCGTGCAATTAGGAAAATTCTATTCACGAGTTGGTTATTACTTAACATTTATTTCAAGGGTTAAACATCTACTGGTAAAATGTTTGTGTATTACATTCAGGATTTTAACTAACAATGAACATTTAACAAACATTTGCTGGTATATACTTAAATTGCTTGAAGTCATTCAATTTTTAAAAAGAAACATTGATAATCGGCTATTAAAATCATAATTAGTCAAATAATAAAACACAGTTAAATGATAAATTTGAGTTAAACCTTGAAAATAGATTTTATAATAAGAATCATTGATGATCAAAGAATAATTAGATTTATGTTTATGACGTAATCTCTGGCTTTTTTAATCATGAAACTAACTTCTTTCTAATGAAGGTAAAGTTTAATTTACAGATCAAAATCATATAAAATTGTGTAGCTTTTTAAATGACTAAGTCATTTAACCATAAGTAATTTAGGACCTGTCATATGTGTACATTATTAAAAGTCAAGTCACTACATTGGGACAGTGAGATGGAATTATGTAGACAAATTCTAAAGTAATGGGAGAAACAACCGTATCAATGATAGTAAAAAATATTAGACAAAGACGATATTATTAGAGAGGAAAGAACATGTTCTTAGAATAAGAGCGTATTATGATTTGAAACATCAAGATCTAAGGGAAGACAAAAAGTGAATGAGTTTGTGTCATTAAAAAAATCCGAGCCATATCAATGATAGTCTCAAACTATTAGTCGTGATAGTCATATGAACTGAGCATACCAGTGCATCACAGTCCAACTGTTAGTAATTTTGTATACTAGCGGTACGTTTTTGTTTGGTCATCCCTAGATTTCTCCCAGCCGCTACTCTTGCATCATTCGATATCGCAAATCAACATACACTAGGTGAGAATATGTAATGTACATCCTAACCACCTCAATCGATGAGGATTTACTGTTTGATCAACCTCGGTATTGCCAACTTGGTGGCCACGTCATACACAAGCGAATTCCCGAAAGCATCTTTAATCAATTACTAGTGACTTATGACAACTCTTTACTTTTAAAAATCACGTTTAAAAATCACAGCTATGAAGTAAAACATAACGAAATACTACTCAATAAACTCGTCCTTTGGGTGCTGGATAGACATCTAGATGACTAGAAAAAAATTCTCTTCACTAATTTAAATGATCACTATCTGATTTTAACACAGTTACTATAATTATACTGGATTTTGTATCCTCCCTTATTATTATTATCATCATCATTGTTTTGTGTCTATTTTTTTATTTACAGCACTTCATGGGATAAAAAAGCATCTAACATTTGGTATCAATTCATTAGTAGCTCCAAAAACTTTGAAATATTATCCTACTCATTGTGGATAACCATGAATTAAACATATTCATTGATGAAGAAGATTTGTAGCTCAGGTGGATGATTTTGATGAAGTTTTGCTCTCTAAGCTGGATAGTTTGGTCATGGAGCTTTCATCGTTCTTCTGAACGACATCATCAGCACAATGCACCACAACCAAATCATCCAGCTCAAAGAACAAAACTCTATCAAAATATTCATTGATCATTAAGAAAAAAACATTGAAAATCTATGTATATACATATATGATCATCTATACAAATTATTATTTGATTCCAATAATAAACTATATATATATTTGTACATAATTGACAGATATGCTTGTTGTGCAATGTCATTTATAAATTATATTGTCTAGAATTGTCTAGTGACATTTTCTTCTTCTATGTTAATTCTATTTTGTTTTTAAGAGAAAAATTCTTTATTACTCCATAATCAATCTTTATCAGTGGTAACCAGTTATCATTCATCCATGAATAAAGTCTTACTTTAGTTCTTATTTGTGTTCAATCAATATTTTGACGATACTTTATTAAACATGCAAATTATTCAATATTATTGACTATTATATATCATTTTATTGTATTTATTATTGAAATTAAATATGTTTACTTTTTCATTCTTATCTACATCTTCATTTTATAATATGTTTTTGTTTTTTTGTTTTAATGTAAAGACAATTCTTAAGTGAAAGTCATTCAATTCTTTCTGTTTTAATTGTGATGAATATTTTAGTAGGGCCCTTTATTTTCTCGTCAATTAGGTCGGATGATGTTGTTGATGAGCTCACCACTTTAGTGGCCCAGGATTTGACTCTAATTAGATCGTATGAACGTTTGCTGCCGAAATATATATATCCTGACTATTCTCGTATATCTTTATCGAGTTAATCCTCGTTGAGTGAATAACGAAATTAAATAAGTCAAATAACGAGAATGGACTTTTGAATACATATATTTTGTATATGAAGCAAATGGAATGGAGTGAAGTAAAACGACGCTCAGTGGATAAGGTATGTTAGCCAACTTCATTTAGTCAAGCGTTAATCAATGATTATAGTCACACAAAAATAAGTCACAGACATGTGATGAATAGGATAAGATGTGTACACATACATATGCGCTTATGTAAAAATCGTCAAGATTGATAAGCGAATAATTAGCAAGGTCAAAATGTGACTCAAGTAGAATGAATAGATTGGCCTGTCCGAAAGCTAGAATAAAGTATATGGGCTTAATATAATAACCGCCACTACAATATTTCATCTAACTGATGGTTATATATGAAGAATATTTGATATCATTATTCTGTTGAGATCATCATAAACAGATTTCATTTTAGTCCATACTACTCATGTATAAACAAGAGATCATGAGTTGAAAATTTATTTTATTCGTATAAAATTGATGTACTGTTTAGTTTACAGGGTAGGATTGTCGATTCCATGCCGAACCCGCCTTGTTTACTCGGGCTTGAGATTCGCAGTTACCATGGAAGGGCTCAAGGTGTAATTTATATCTAAAATATTTCTTGAACAATTTTGCTATTATTAATACTGGTTAGTATTAAAGTCTAGTCGATTAATGGTAGTTCCAATTTTGTGAAAATATGCTAAATCGTAAATTGTTTGAAACTGCAAATATGAGCTATTCGATACTCACTTCGTTGTTTATTAGCAATATATCCTCTTCAAGATGATAAACATTCTAAACTAGTACTCATGGTGCTTTGTATGTATCTCAATGTAAATGTAAGCATTTCTTTTGATATTTTTTCAAACTGAGGATGTTTTTCTATGGAACTTAAAATGTGAATCCAGCAAGTAGGTTTCATACTGTTAAGGGCTTGTTATTGAAACATACTTCCATCTATTCACATTTTAAACTTTCTAACAGAGATATCGACTCAAACACACATCAGTAAAGAAGTAATTTACATATTGAGTCATATTAGCAAATTCTAGTACCAGGAGTTTTTAGTCGTTGATAAGGTTTAATGTGATTTTGTTATTAAGTTTCCAAGATAAAAGATGTTAATACTTTACCAAAATATCAATTCTACTATACTACTTGTAACTAGGTAATAAGTCAAAAAGAATATAGTTCTTTAGAGAAACAATGTGTTTATAATGAATATTACTGAATAGTGTTTTGTTAGAATGTAAAAGTTGTCAATTGCTCTCTTGTTTTACAGTAGTAGTTTCTACATTGATTTTAATGTATAGCAAATATCTTTAAAAAGCAAATTCTACGTAAACACTGAGTAAATAAAAACTTCCATAGAAGTTGCTTTCATGTTAATCTAGTTTTCAGATTGTTTACATCTTGTTTTTGTTTGGATAACTTAGTGTATTCTCATTACAATTGTATTATGGTTATACAGACTATCAATGAATTCTGATAACCTGTATCAAAAGAAACATTATTCCTTCATAATCAAGGTCATTTGTGTAAACTATTCATTCTTTTATAGCTCATTATTAACGGGTCATTTAACTGTGATTGAAAATTTAACCTTTAAATTTTCATCAGTTTATCTGACTAAATAATTAATTGATGTGTTGAATATATATATGATACCCCTCTTGACTTCTGTTGTATATTTTTATTATTTCACTTACTCGTATTACATCAAAGTTGATTAGGTGTTCAAAAAATAAAGTAGATATGACTTTATAAAATATGTAACAAACTAAATAAATTAAAAACGCTAACCTTTTTACTAATTAGACTATTAAGAATAAGGTATAAAGTAATAGTTTTCGCATGAAATCATAGGTCGACAGATGTCAATCAGTACTTCTTATTGAATTCATACTACTTTTTCATATTTTGCGGGTTTGTGTTAAAATAATGATGAGTACATCAATCAAGTAAAGTATCTGCAATATATTTGAACTTCGGGAAATTCACATTCTCACTAATAATTCGTTTTGGTATACTACTGTATAAATGTACTAGAAGCTCATGATTAACATTTTACTGCTACTATGAGATATCCCTAAACTATTAAATTTTTCGTCTGAGAAAGTACACAGCATTCACTTTTTAATTTCAAATAAAAAACTTGATATTAAGTAACAGTTTTTGACAATATTTCTGAAGTATTCTAGTCAATGAGTTGTATCAATTCAAGGCACATAAAAAACTATTTAGTTAATGATATCGGAATCAATTTTCACTATGAAATTATATCAGTTGGAAAACGTTGAAAATCATGAATTATTGAATAATTGCTTGGCACAAGTTAGAGATGCTACCATACACTAATTCATATAGGATTGAATCTGGGGTATTTCAGTCTCTTAGCAACCTCGGTACCCTTAAATCATGCTGGCAAGATAATATTAGCTAAATGAAGAATTAATACAGCTATTAAGTGGACTGGTTGTCTTATTACTTTTCTGTCGAAAACTCTTTTTTACTCTTTTTTACTTGAATTGACAATTGAGTTTGATCAAAGGATCTTTTAGATTTACTTTATAAGATGATAGACATTTGCATACACTGATCATACAAAAAAAACAGTTGTTTAATTTGATGTAAGTCTGTGACATAATATCGTTCTATAGGGAAATCAAACTATAAATTCACATAGTAATCTAATATAATTTATCATTAATGGACATTTTAATTGTAAAGAAATTTCTTTGAAGTTATCTATTAATAGCCACCAGTGATTCTTTGAGAAGAAATCATTATTCACTAATACAGATAAATGAATGCTTCTATCAATTTTGATTTCAAATATAATGAAGAAATAACAAAATTTCTTTCATTGACATTGTCTCCTACTTCATTGATCAATTAAATCCATTTTCTTTTTTCTCTAAAGTATATTAGACAAAGACCATGGTTATTTGTTTGTATGTGTTATACTATACCCCTTGTATAAGGTCACAGAAATTAGAGCACATCAACAATAAATATAGTGAAAAGAATAAATTCTAAAATATCTCCTCTAATCACTTAAGAAAATCAAACTGTGATAGAGATTAGTAATATTTTCGTTATTATTATTTTGTTACCTTTCGATTCATATGGATTATTATTTTCTTTGATCATATCTACCTTGCTTCTATTTCTCCTTTTTCTGTTATATTTTATTTGTATTAATAGGTGTATCAATCAAAATGAGGTAGTTATTAATTATCTTTAACCATTTGAAGTTTCTATCATCGTCATCATCATATTGTCTAACATCTGTTGTATATATGCCTATGTGTGCGTGTGCATAAGTACTAGGATTATAATCCGGTCATTCATTTATCCACATGGCCCTTTTTCTTTAATATTAAGGCGATTTGGCTTTTAAAAAGAACATTGAATTAGTCAATCAGTCACATTTTTTAGGAAAATAATAATTAATCTGAAGAAAAATAGGAATTTAGTCAGGAAATGTATGCGAAGCTTAGTTCAGGATATCTGATTCATACTTATTTCATGTTGAGGAACTTTTAATCCTTAAATTTAATTTCCATAGCATAGTTGTTCTCATCTGGAAGGTAACTATTAATTAAATAGAAATCAGTTTGATATAAACAGCTAAAAATTACATTTCAGTATCTTTTTATACCATAATGAGAGTAATCTTTAATCTTTACGAGATGCTCGGATTACGTTTTGTTTCACTTATGAAAATAACAAGTGACTAAGGATTGTAGTCAATAATAACTACTTAGCTCTGGTCATATCATAATGATCTAATTGCCAGATGACTACTCCGGTAGTATACATTTGAACTTAGTGGCGATATACCTGGATAGACACACTTTAAATAGTTGTGCGATTCAAAATGGTAATAGTTAACTGCGGAACGTACATGAAATCAAGTGTCAGAAAATGTTTGACGAATTAATGAACACAGTACAAATGTCACAGCTATTAATTGGACTTCTCACAAATGAGATAAGTCAGTAGTGTGCTAAGTGAATATTAACTGAGTATGGCGTAGGAGAGATATCCGTCTATCAACCAAAGGACGTGTTTACTGCGCAGCGGTTCGTTCCGTC